AGATTCAACAATATGAAACATGCCTTGCGAATATCATCATTTTCAATGCTTCAATTTGGTGATATCATCTTTTCATCATGAATCGGATGATGTGGATCATGCATTTTCTGTGTTGTAAATTTTTCATCATCGCCATCATGACCACAAACAATTTCATCATGATGAAAAATTCAAATTCACTTCTTCTTTACTTTTGAAAATCCAGTAGTTCCCAATCTTTCAAAATGGTTTTTGTGAATGAAGAAATTGAACAAGCCAAACAAAAGGTCCTCTCCGAGCTCGGCTATGCACCTATGGCCATTGTGTTAGGAAGTGGTTTGGGCGATTTTCCAAAGGCTCTCTCCAACACTCGTAAAATCCCATACTCTCAAATTCCTCACATGCCTCTCACTTCGGTTCAGGGACATTCGGGTGAGTTGATTATTGGTGAATTACCATCTTCTGTTCATGCAAAGGAACACGGAGAAACTTCTGCCAATAAGAAAAAGCTCATTTACTGCTTTGCAGGAAGAATTCACTCGTATGAAGGTGGACCATGGGATGAAGTTACCTTCCAAGTGAAATTGATGGCTGCCATTGGATGTAAATTATTCATCTTGACAAATGCAAGTGGTGGTCTTTTTGATGACATGACTGGAGGATGTTTGTGCTTGTTGACTGGACATTTTAGATTGTTGGCAAGAATGGATCCAAATAGTTTGGCGAGTGCTGTTCGTGTTTTTGAAAAGAATAATGGAAGCAGTACTACTCAACAACAACAATCGACAGAACTCGTTCGAGTCGAAAAGAATGAATTTGAATCGGAATTTGAGGCAAAATATTCACATTTCGCACCTAATTTTTGGACTGCAAAATATGTCAATTTATGCAGAAGTATTGCCAAGGAGAATAATATTAAATTATTTGAAGGATCCTATGCATGGGCAAGTGGTCCAAGTTTTGAGACACCTCTCGAAGTGTTGATGGCAAAGAAGTTGGGCGGTGCATGTGTGGGAATGTCAACCGTTCCTGAAATGCTCACATGCAATTATTATGGAATGGATTGTATGGGAATTAGTTTGGTGTGTAATTTGGGTGCAGGATTGCAAAAAGAACCTCTCACACATAAGGAAGTTTTAGAGAATTCCAAAATTGGTACTGAACATATTCAATTATTGGTTCGAGAGACCCTTGCAAATATTGAATTTGAGGAGACTAGTGATGCGCCATTGGTTAGTGGTGCAACCAGTGACAGTACTTGCTGTGCTTCCTCCAGTAGCACTACCACTCAATATGTTGCTTTAAAGATCAACACTGAATCAATGAAAATCACTGAGGAGAATATCAAGCAAGCTGTACAATTGATTCAACAAGAATTGGGTCAATTCGATGAGAACCAAATTAATATTTATTGCACTCAACAAAATGTTCCAAACTTGCTCCAAGATGGTAAAAAGGTTGACTTGATGACGTTACCTAACTTCCCATACACATCTGCCTCTGGAAACTTTGGATACATTACTAAGAATGCCAAGAATCAACTTACACTCATTTCCAATGTGCATCCAAGTTTGGATAATACTTTTACCACTGAAGAGTCCTTCTATTTGACACTTGTATTCAACGTTCTTAATGTTCAGAATGTTGCATTCTTTGTCAAGTGCAGCGATCCTAGAGTCACCCCCGAGAACACTGTACAAGAAATTTCAAGTGTCACTAACTTTGGTCATGCTCAACCTTTGGAATATGTCGAGAGTGTTTACATTTCTCATGATCGAGTTTTGGACGCTGCTCCACTCTCAACCAACGAGAAGCAAACAAATTCATACATGGGATTTATGGGTCCAGATTACCCAAGCTATATGGAGTGTCACCTTGCTCAAGAATTGGGCCATTCAACATTTGGTGTCACCTCTTTGAATCTTTTCTGCGCTTTGAGATATTTCGGTTTTAATGTGAAGGCATTTGTTGAATTTTCTGAACACACTTCTCTCAATCAAGTGCAAATGCAAATTCCATCAGTCAAAAGAAGTGTCAAACCTGTCAAGTATGACCAGCAATGTAAATTGAGATATAACATTCTCAAATACGAAGAAGTTGTTGAAGCAACACAATTTATTAAGGAACAATTAGATCTTGGAGACAAGAGTATTGATACTGCCATTTTTGATTTGAACTTGAATTTACCATTCTTTGAGAATCCTAATGTTAAAATTGTCAAGACATTGGCATTGAGCGACATTCCTCATTACAAGCCAAAGAATGGAGTCTCTCAAGCACTTTCACTTGTTCGTGTGAGTAGCGACAAGAATAGTACCGAAAAATTAGTACTTGTCATTCATCATGTTGGATTGGAACAAGATGAAAGTACCTATCTACTCAGTAACAGCTTGGTCGATTTGACATTCTTTGTTCGAGTTTGTCAACATCTTCAAACTGTTCAATCCATCTATTTGAACAGTGCTGTTTCAAGCGCTCTTTCAGAACTAACTTCTGAACCAATCTATTCTCCAAACACTTTGGTGCAGTATAAGGATCACATTAACTTTACTGGATACAACCCAATGATTGGTAAGAATGAAAATAGATGGGGTGACAGATTCTTTGATGTCTCTGGATTGTATCATCCTTTAAGAACAACTACAGCAAGAGTTGAAACTTCGAATGTTTTTTATTTCAATCATGCTCTTCAACTTGAGAATAGAGCCATTCGTACCCATACTTCCAAATACAATGCGAATATTTTGAGCTCAGTTGGATGTTATGAAGCATTGGTAGCTCATCATGACACTAAAGAAAAACACACTAGAACTCGAGTGGTATCATTGGGATTGGTGGTTGATCAAGCTCAAAAATCTGAAGGAAAATTGATTTGTCCAGAAAAGAAGAAGGAGCTTGTCACTGTTCTCTGTAATGATATTTTGGGATTGTAATTGGGTTGTGTGTGCGTGCGATTGCAAAGTAGTGAAAATTTTCAACAACATGGTTAAGACTCACACTCCTTGTTGTTTATTAAATGTTTGTTCTCACAAGTTTGTTGCAAAGTGACATCATGGCTGAATTTTTGACGAAAGCCAATCTACAATGCTTGTTTTTGAGTGAGCTTGAGCAATCGAGTGGAATAATCCAAACAAATCTTCTCGCCTTCAGTCATGTGTTTTCCTTCCTTTCTCTCCTTCAACTTCAATTGAATCATTTGTGCCCACATTGGATCACACTTGTTGAAATGTTGCATCATGTGATCAATCACACGTTGTTCAGTAACCTTAAAGAAGCTCGAAGCAATATTATCACACAAGTGATGCTTATCCTTATCACTCAATATTCTCCAAAAGTCAGCCACTTGTTGATAGTAATCTTCAAACGATCCTTCTTGATACATTTCATAGATACCAACATTTCCAGTACTACGGAATGGAGGTTCAATATATTTTTCATTGGGTACCAATCCTCCAAACACACTCTTATCATAGGCCGGGAATCGATCCTGAATTCTCAAATTCATGGGTCCTCCCAAATTGTAATTATGAGGTTCCACACCCAATGGACGATTCACATACAATTGTTTATAATTAGGTCCAATACGATGAATTTGAGTGGAATCATAAATCAAGAGACGTCCCTGTAAGAGTTTGTCTGGAGAGAGTCCAATTCCTGGAACAGTGTTGGAAGGAGAGAAGGCTACTTGTTCAACTTCACAAAAGTAATCAGTGACATTTCGATTGACTTCCAATTCACCTACTTCAATGAGAGGATATTGAGATTGTTTCCAAACTTTGGTTGGATCAAAGGTCCATGGATGTCTGTATCCTTCTTCTTCAGGCATGATCTGAACGAACATTTTCCATTTAGGGAAATTTCCTTTTTCAATGGCTTGATACAAGTCGCGTGAGAGGAAATTAGGATCTTCACCAGCTACTAATTTGGCTTCATGTTGTGTAAATCCATAAGCTCCTTGCATGCATTTGAGATGGAACTTGACCCAGAATCTTTCTTTCTTTTCATTGACGAATGAAAAGGTATGACATCCATAGGCATTCATGGTACGATAACTCATTGGAGTACCTTTGATTTAATAGTTATGACATAAGGAATTGATTAAAAAATTAAAAAATGTTGAAAGGTTGGCATTTGACAGTTTGCTATAAAAACATACCTGATCGATCGGTGTAGAGCATGACCATTTGATGAAGACCTTCAGGATGGGAAGCAACAAAGTCCCAAGTTTGGGTCACGTTCCAGCATCCTGTTCTTGGATCTCTCTTGAAGGCATGGACAGCATCTGAAAATGGTATTGAGAAATGTCAAACATGGAAATTGTACAAAAAAGGTAAATGATTGAACATTGAAAATAAAAAATATACATACCTGGACCAGGTTTGGCGTCTCTCACAGCAAATACTGGTGTGTTAATTCCCAACAAATCCCAGTTACCTTCACGAGTGTAGAATTTGATAGCAAATCCACGAGGCTATCAATTTCAACCAAATTCAAAAAGATTCATCATTAACACATTACAACCATATATAAAAACGTCACACCACAACTTACATCTCTAGTCGTATCTGGATCTCCAACCTCAGTGAAAATTCCAGAAAATCTCGTAATAAACTCTGTCTTCTTTCCAACTTGAGAAAACAAATCCGCACACGTATACTTTCTAATATCATTGGTCACTGTAAATGTACCATAGGCACCACATCCCAACGCGTGTACATTTCTGGGTGGAATCTTTTCACAATTGAAATGCAATAATTTATCCAAAAGATCCAAATCTCCAACACAGAGTGGACCTTGACTTCCTGCAGTCATGGAATCCTTGACATGACCAACAGGACAGCCATTGTCTCGAGTGAGAGCATTTTCTGGAAGGATTGATTCATGTTCACGTAATGGTACTCGACCAAATTGCAGAGAAGCTTCTTTGAGAACTCGAGAACCATATCCAAGTGGACATTGAGCGTGTTGAGGATGAGTGGTGGATTCCATTCTAGAACCACTACCAGATGGATGTTCACCACCATGATGACCACTACCACTCGTTGTTGTTCCAGAATGAATTCCAGAGGGATGAGTCGTGCTTGGATGAGTCATGCCATGATGACTCACAGGAACGGAAGTTTCGTCAGAAGATAAAGTGCTTGAACGTTGTTGTTCAGGCATGTTGGTCGAATGTAAATGATGGCTTGGCATGGTACGATCGAGTTGTTGTTTTTTAAGCAAACACTTAAAGATGTGTGAGTTGTTGTTGTTGTTGTTGAGAGGAATGAAAATTGGATATAAATGGAAATTTGAAGTATTGAGAAGGTAAGGGAGATGATGGTTATTTGGAGTTTTTGGGTTAACTAAAGGAGAATATTAGAGTGTTTGATGTTCTTTCGAATTTGTAGATTTGCTGTTTTTGGTACATGTTACAATGAAATAGTTGCTGTAAAACGAACTTTGAAATCAATTAAACAAGAGAATATGCATGTTAGGTCATTCACACACGAACTGTACTGACTTCCTCGCAATTTGTAAAACGTCAAAGACTTTCATTTGTTGAAAATGTTTGAAAATGTAAGCATAGTACGTACGTCATGTGCATATTTATTCTTCGTCTTCTTCGCTCTCTTCATCTTCTCCTTCTTCAATATCTTGTTCAAAATCGTGTTTGGTCTTCTTGTTGGATTTCACTACTCCAGCCTCTTCATCGTCATCATCGTCATTCATGTTCTTTCTCTTTTTCTTTCCACTAAGAGCTTCCTTAACTCCAACTTCGTCGTCATTGTCTTCATCGTCTCCTTCGTCCATGAGATCTTCCTCATCACCCAGAGTATCAAGTAAGGCACCAATTCCATCTTGATCCTCTTCGTCGTCTTCAAGGGTATTTTCAACAAGCTCTTCCTCATTGTCGGATTCTTCAGCTCGTTCTCGTTCCGCCTCTACTTCATCTTCATCTACAAGCTCTGCCATTTCTTCATCTTCGTCTTCGTGGTTAGCTTGATCTTCATTGTCATCCTCTTCGAAATCTTCGTCTTCTTGGGCTTGGAATGCCATTAATAATCCATCAAGATCATTTTCAATGTCTTCATCATCTTCAGACATGTTGTCAATATTTTCATCTTCTTCTTTACGTTTGAGGGTCTTGGTTGGCTTGGTTGCTTCTGCAGACGTCTGTTTCTTGCTACTTGCTGCTGATTCTTTAGTGGGTTTTGTTGGTTCTTTAGCACTTGTTTTTTCTGCTTTTTTGGAAGATGTGGACTTTTTGGCAGATTGTTTTGGAGATGTTTCCACAACTTCATCGTCGTCAAGGTTGACTTTCTTCTTTGATGACTTGTCCTCGTCAACCAATAAATCCTCAGCACTCTCTTTCTTTTTAGAGGTTTTGGTTTCTTTCTTCTTTGTGCTGGCGGTTGTTGTCGATGATGTACCAACTGTTGCAACTTTACCATATAATTGTTTGATTTTTGGTAAGCTTAGATAAAAATTCACGTGAGCAGGATGTGCTCCATGGCCTTCGGTGGAAATGAGACTTAGTTGTGATTTGGCATTGCTTGCAAAATCAACCCCACTTGCAGCACGAACCAAACTTCTGATCGTTCTATGGACAAATACTTGATTAGAGTCGGGAATAACACCAAGAGCATTGAAACACACCAGTAATTTCTCGACGGTCAGTCTCGTGTCTTTTTGCAAAGCAACAATAAATTCCTTTTTCACATAGAAGTTACACATGAGAAGAACAGCCACGAGTAAATGGTTTGCTGTACGAATGAGGAGTGTTTTTCCAACGGATTGATTGAATACCAAGTGTTGGAAATGTCTTGGTGAGGATTTTGTGAATTCTGGAACACACAATCGTAGCAGCAGGTCCTGAAGAGTTTGTGCAGATTTTGGAAGGTAGAGATAGGGATGAGTTTTCATGCTCTCAATTGGAGGATTTGGGAAAATGTCTGCCATACTTGTGAACTTGACAGATGAGCGATGTGAAGAATTCTCCTTCTTTCCAATTTTTTGAACGGCCTTTTTGTCCAAAGTACCTTGAACGTAGCATGTTTGTAAGATGGCTGCAACGTGGTCTTTCACTCTACGAGTTTGAGCAATTTGGAAAATGCCCAACAAGACCATGTAGTATTGAGCCAGTGAGGGAATGTCAGAAGCAATGGCTTGCAGGAAGGAAGAAAATTGTTCTTCTGTCAATTCCTCCGCTGGAAGGACAGGATCGTCCTTATCTTCGGCGTTGGTGGATTTTTCTTTGCCTTCTTCTTCGGCATCTTCATCTTCATCAGATTTCTTTTTCCTTCTTCTCTTCTTTTTAGCAATGGCATTCCAGTTTCCATGTTGAATAATAACTCCAAAATATTCTTGTAAAAAGGATGGAAGATTCTTGAATTCTGTCATTGAGGTAATACTTGTGTTGGCTTCTTCAGTTAATGCACCATTATCCATTGTGGCTCCTTCGAGAACTTTCCACACTCTTTGAAGTGACTTGTTTCTGCAATGCTTGCCTTTGAAGTGATCAATCAAATGTTTGTCATCAAATAATAAATCAGTTTTAAGATCGAATAAGTCATTGACAGTTTCTGCCTCAATATTCACTGTTGGAATATATTGTCTCATGGTTGCCATGGAGGAAGAGCGACTATTTCTTCCCACAAGGACCTTTAAAGTTTCCATTTGGTCAGCTTTTAGAGATGTGGTAGCAGCAGTGGCTCTCTTTTGCATCAATCTGGCATAACGTTTTGAATTGAATAAGGAATCTGCAACTTCACTTCCTCCAATAACTCTCTTCTCAAAGAAGTGTTGATAAGAAATATCGGGTTGAAGAGCGTCAGCTCCTCCTTGTTCTAACTCTCTCTTCAGAATATCCTTTCTTTGAAGGTTTTGTTTGGACTCTTCCTTGATAATGAAACATTCTGGAAGTTCAATAATTGTGGAGGCTTTTGACTTTTAGATTTAACCACAGCCAATAAATATTTACTCGATGATGAGGATGATGATGGATTGGTCAATGATTTATATTGCATGGATTTTGACTCTCCGAATAGAAAAGGTGTTGTATCATCATCTTTTTTGACCAAAGAAAAATGAATATTCGAGAGATTAGGAGGTGCAGAAAGAGAATTAGTAAATTGCACAAGACATGGCGTTGAAATAGTGTCTTTCTTCTTCTTTTTTACATTCTCCGAAGAGGATGATGACTTCTTTTTAGAAGTGGTGCCGCTGTTGTTCGTAGCAGCTTTTTGTTTGCTCGACATTTTTTTCATCCAAAATTTTAATTCATTCTTCAAAAATTAATTTGATTTCTCGACCCTGTATCAAGACAAAGCCTGAAACGATCGGGTCATCAAAGAAGAAGTAATAATTTGATGACTAGGAACTGGATCAATGGATCAACATAACATGATAATTATTAAAGCAATCTGAAAAATTAAGCTTTATTTGTGGTTGCATTAGAGAGAAATTATTATAATTGTTACTAGAAAGGGCTGTACAATGTATTTGTTCACGAAGTGAAACAATAATATAACACGGAATTTGATGAAATATTACTCGTAAAATTAGCTGATACTTAAATCAGCATTCAGATGACAATTTTCAAAATAATAATGGGATGGGACATGATGGACTATTGACTGTTTGAAGGATTGAACGCTGCATTGCCACCTCCCATATGGAGAGTGGAGGTTGTAGAGGTTGCAAATGAACTATTCTGAGTGGGAGCACATGAAACAGACTGATGATTTTGACTGGCGTTTAAAGAAGCACTCATCATCATGTGGTGAGGATTCGACCCATGCGGATTGAGGCCAGAATTGTTGAAAGGAGAAGATATGGGTCCACCATTCGCCACTGGAGTCATTTGTTTACTCATAATCACATTAGACACCAAATTTGTCTTTGCATTATGGGCGAGTGGTAAAAGTCGTAAATGCATTGGGTTGTAACAAAAGTTAGTGTTTGCACAGATGTATACAATAGTTAGTGTTTGAACAGCGCTGTTGTATCACAGATAACAAACTTACCTCTGCTGTTTTCTGTTGTTGAATGGGTATGGGCTGAGGACTCTGAACGAATATGGAGGATGATCTTCCCATCGTTGGAGAGTGTAAATTCTTGGAGTCCTCTCCTCTCGTCTGTTGTTGGAACGATGCTGAACTAGTTCCTGTGACGGTGGAATGAAACCCATTACCATTACTCGATGCTGTCGTTGTATGAGTGGAGGAAGGAACAAATAAGGCTCCAGTCTCCACCTTAGACAAGGTAATGGTTGGCCACTTTTCAATTCCAATCTGTTCTCTCACACTATAGAATCTTCTCTTGAGAGTACTCACACTCACACCCAATGCTTTCGCTGCTTCTTTTTGAGGCAAGTGTAAATTCTGAATGATGGAATCGATGGGAATTTCCTTAAAGCTGGAACGACGAGTGGGTGGAAAGTCAAGAAAGACAGTCGAATTGGTACCATTATTCATGTTGCTGTTGTTATTGCTACCAGAACCAATTCCTCCATTCAAATCCAAGGAAGAAGAACTTGAGGATGAAACGGACAATTGAACATTAGAAGATCCACTAGCAGTGGTTGAACCACCACCACTACTAAATGAAGGTCTCGATGGTTTTGATGGCGAATTCAATGAGATGGGAGTGTACGAGGAGAAGGAGTATCGCTTGTGGATTTTCCTGAAGTAGAATGCAAACTGTTCGTACTCGCACTACTTGGTGAATGTTCTGGAACATAGGGTGAGAAGGCAGATTGAGGTCCACCCAAATTCTGTGAATTTCTTTTGCCCAAGAATTTGACAGGAGTGCCTGAGTTGAAACGTTCATCATGGGACTTGCATTTAGTGCAGTGGTGGTTGTGGTGTTATTACTATTACTTCCAGTTGTTTGGAATGGTTGTTGTTGAGCAGGAGTATACCCAGTTGGACTTGTCATGAATATATTATTCACTCCAATAGCCTTTGTTGGAGTGTTGCTGCCATGAGTGGGAGTCGTTGAGTGGTTTGTGTTGAAACCAAACGTTCCATTCCTCGTGGGTGTCATGACACTTCCTGTCGTGGAGGAGCAAACGTGAACACTCGCACGTGTGGTAGAACTTGGACCAGGATTCCCACTAAGATACGAACTACTCATGAAAGGATTGTTCATACCTCCAACAACACTCGAAGAATAATTTGTTGGAGTGGTGCTTGATATGGAATGGAAATAACTACCATTAGTAGGAGTATTCATTGTGGTGGTTGAAGAAGAGTTGTTAGTAGTCGTTGTAGTAGTAGTAGTACTTGCTCCTTGTGGTTGTTGAATGGGAGTGTACGATGAAGAGCTAGATCCAACCACAAAGGAATTACTTGAAATGTTGAATAAGGGAACAGCACTACTCGTATGGGTTGGTGAGGGTTCACTCAAACCAGGAATGGGTTGAAAGTAATTTCGAATGGAGGGCAACATTTGAGGTTCCTGTTGTGGATAGGGAGTGTTGTGGGAAGAATGACCATGACCACTATTATTGCTACCACTACTGCTATTACTGCTATTACTACTACTACTATTACTGCCACTACTATTGGTACCTTGATGGTCAGAACCACTATCAAGAGTAAGATTACTGAATGGAAGAATGCCATGAGTGGGAGTCTTGGAAGGAGTGGTTGTGGTTGAGACAGCATTGAGCGATGATGGACTTGAATCTCTGAAATTGCTGATACCAACGCCACCATTAGTGCCATGACCACCACTTTCACTAATGGAGGTGTTGTTATTACTCTTGGACGAGTATTCAAATCTCATGGTGTTTCCTGCTTCATCCATGTGGTGATCATCATCCTTGGTGTCATCATCAGCATGGTCAATGATCATCATGGAGTTGCTATTATTCACAGGATGAGTATTATTTACAGGAGAATGATCTTGCGTTGGATCCAAGTGTTCATTTCTTAAGGGAGCTAACAACATGGATTGAGGAGGCGAGGGTCGCTGAACCATCAACTGATCAGCTCCCAACGTTTGAGGAGTCTCATGTGACTGGAAATTCACACAAGATGATTCTGGAATGACATTAGTTTTGCTTGAACTCAATAATGATGGAACACTGTTAGCATGAGGAGGTGAAAAGTCAGACATGTTATTAATAAGAATAATCTTTGAACCACATGAGAGTTGTGCAACAAGTTTTTACAATGGCCCAATGACTTTCGAGAGGTGGTGTTTTTTTCAGCACCAAACTGTGTGCTATCATGTTAAATTCAAGAGTTACAAGCAGAAACTTCTTAAAATGGAAGTTTTGCAACCGTGGAATATTTCATGGATTTGGATGATTACGATCGTTACAACTCTTTACGAATGAATCCACTCTCCAAACACAGAGGACTCCAATAATATCCAATGTACTTTGACTCCTTATCACCTTGCTTGTTATGCTTCTGTGCTTCGACTATGGTTGCTTGCATGCATTTGATCAGCTTTACTTGATTGGGAAATTCACACATGAATTGTTGTGAAATTGAAATACCGTAACGAACCATATTGTCGTAGATGTAAATAGTACATGCCTGTGACCAAATTAATGTTGTGGTTCACGTTAAGGAAAGAACAGGAAGGGCAACTACGTTTACACAAAACATGAATTTATGGATTGAACAAACTTTACAATACTGTCTTCAGTTCTAGTATACAGCAAACCACTCCATACTTTCATATCGAATAGTAATAAATGATCAAGATTAAAACTACCAACAAATCCAAATGAGGAAAGACAAGCAAGAACGAAGAAACTTGTTGTTGATTCAAAAAAATACTCGGAAAATTGACGCAGCAAATCTTGAGGGGTTTTTCAATTATTTTACCATTACGAAAAGAAGAAGTCTCAAAACCTTTCTCATTCCAAAACCACCCTCGCTCATCAACACAAGGTTAATTTCTGCTGCCTTTTTTTTGCCCGATTATTATCAACAATAGTAAGAAATTTTAAATATTACGGAAGGACCAACAGAAGAATGGAGGAAGAAGTACATTCTTCAGCAATGTTAACCAACAATGATTCCATACCACTCTCTCATGTAGATTCCGATGATGACATTGAGAGAAAAGTGTTATTTCAAAATAATAATTTTCAACCTCTCATACAGAATCGGAACCAATGGAATAATACCCACCAAAGTATATCAACATTTCCAATAGAAACACCATTGATATCATCCTTTCCCTCTTCGTCCTACGAAATTTCCGATGCTAACAACAACAGTAAAAACGCAAGCCTTGAAGCAAGAAAGAAATTGGGTCATCATCATGATGAGGCTTCTTCGGTCAACTTTGAAAACCAAGATTCGGATAGAATAATGGTGCCAGCCTCGCCATCATCACTCACATGTAATAATGAAAATACGGAACAAGTTCAACAACCATTCGCTACTGATGAAACAACACCATCCAAACAAGTAGAACCATTGGAAGGAGCGATTTTACAAAATGACCTTTTTAGTGTCAAGGAATTCTATCATTCAAAGACTTTACTATGCACTGGATGTACGGGATTTATCGGAAAGACTGTCGTTGAGAAGATTTTACGATGTTTGCCTCATGTTAAAAAGGTGTATCTTCTCATTCGAACCAAGAAGGTCACTGACAAGAGAAATCCAAATATTCCACCCAAAATATTTTCAGGACATGAAAGAATGGTGAATGAAATTATAAAGTCACCAATCATGAATCGATTGATAGATGAAAAATTCCAAGGAGATCGTTCCAAATTTGAAGAATATGCTCTCGAGAAATTAACATGTGTGGAAGGGGATGTTTCCGATGTGGATTTATTTAATGAAAAAGATCAACCCTGCGAAGAGAGTCTTCTAAGTGAACCTTCAAAAATTGTGAAACTTGGTCAAATTAGAAATCAGGTCAATGTTATCCTTCACATTGCAGCAACGGTTGGCTTTACTGAACCTTTACCCGATGCATTACGTTTAAATGTTTTTGGAGCACTCAATATGCTTCGATTTGCCATTTATTGTCCAAATATTCAATCGTTTATTCACGTTTCAACATGCTATGTGAATTCGAACCAAGCAAGTGGTTCCAAAATTTTTGAGAGATTTTACCCACTCAACCTTAATAATGCAACAGTGGGAGAAAAACAAAGGAAACATAGAATACGACGTTTAGTCCGAGGATATAGTAATACACAAGAACAAAATCAAGGAGCAGAAGATGAATTAGAAGAAATGGAACAATTTTGTGAGGGAATTTTTGCAGACTTTTCGTTCCAACGATTCTTCAATCAGTTACCAAGCTCCTACAAACCCGATGTCAGCAATAAGGAAGATCCCAACTTGATGGCTCAGTTCACGGATCGAGTTTTGAAAAATACAAAATTTCCCAACACGTATACACTCACGAAACATTTGGCTGAAAAATTAGTTGCCAAATATCATGCCCATGTTCCAGTGGCCATTGTTCGACCTTCGATTGTGGGACCTGCTATGAAGGAACCTCAACCTGGTTGGATTGACGCTGTGTCAGCAGGTGCTGCTGTCATGTTATTTATTGGACTCTGTGTGATTCGAGTTTTGCCAGGAAGAGCCGAAGGAATTGCAGATCAAATACCTGTGGACTATGTCGTGAATTCTATTTTAACATCTGCAGTGGATATTGCAACGAGACAAAAGAAATCAGGCATTATCTCTTCCTCAGCTTTCAATAATTCTCTACTTTTGAATATGAATAATGGAAGCTATAGTGATAGCAATTTCAATCAAAATTATTGCACTCAAAATAACAAGAAACCAGGACTTTTAAGAATTTATCATGCAGGAACTTCAACAGCAAACCCTGGTCCTTGGAGAAAAAGCGCAAATGCAGTCGCTCTTTATTTCACAAAATGTCCATCCAAACATCAAGTGTTGCCCAATATGACCCCTTCGGTTCAACTACTTGAAAATTCCCTCAACTATCAAACTCAATTCTTTTTAAGATATACTGCCTGGACTCAATTTTTCAAGATTCTCGATCTTTTAACCAATTATTATCAGAACACGTTTTCTTTTTTGAGCAATCCAAAAGTTGTAAATTCAAGTAGCAGCAGTAATAACCATGGAACGGTAAGCAGTAATAATACGACCAATAGCAGTAATACAGCTGCTGCAAGCAGTATGACACCATCCACCAAATTCGGCAAACTTGCCACACAATTAGCAAAAATTGAACAGCGAGCACACCAATTAGGTTCACATTTTAGTCATTTCATTCTGAATGAATACTTTTTTGATAACTCCCATGTACTCGAAGCAAATAATTCTATCGTTCCCAATGAAAGAGATTATTCGTTTGGAGAAAGTGGGGCTTTTGGCTTGGATTTTGATTTTGATTGGGATGAATATTTAGAATTGTTGTGTTATGGAATACATCGATACTTCCTGAAAGAAGAGCCTCCCTATATCCCTCCACAACAGCAACAGCATATGGCTCAGCAGTTGCGATTGGCAAAGAAGGAAGAAGAGAGAAGCAAGAATTTCAACATGAAGCATTTCAGAACTTCTAAACTTTGAATTTTACTAAAGAGCATTGTTGTTACACCTTTAGAGTGTCTGTTGTACCTTAAAGTTTTTGCTTGCTTCTTTTCATCCATTCATTGGTTGGGGATGGATAATCTTTAAGGTCAGACAGTGATAGATCTTTTTCAGTGCTGTGTGGTGAAGCCAAATAATTAAGCTGTGACAAGAGAGGATTGGAGGAGGAATTGAGCGACGAAGGTGGTGAAGACGATCCAGCAGTTCCTTCCAAAATACTTAGCGTACTCTTTGTTGAAAATAGCCCTTGAGGCGGGAATACTTCCATACTTTCCGAGTCACGTCTAGCCTCATCAACAACGTGGTACACTTCCCTGTATTGAAGTTCAAAACTCTTGTCCATGTCTTCAGGCTCCATTATTTTTGATGTTTGTGGTGTTAATGGCTTGCGAAGGGACTTAATCACAGCTGTCTTTTGCCCAAAGGTGAATTCCTTTGGGACAGTTGTCTCGTGTTTCCAATTCTCACCATAATTGATAACCCTAGATGCATGCTTCTTCTTTTCCCTAGCTTCAATTTGTCGTTGAATAAAATCATCAAATCCTAGAGGTTCTGAATCGTTCTCTAATTTTGTCAGATCGTCTTGCTTAATTCTATCAATGGTAGGTTTAAAGGTACATTGTTTTAATTCTTGAAGTGTCTTCTCTTTTCGTTCTTGTTCCAGTTTGGCCTTTCTCTTCTTATCCCAAAATATTAACCTGTCAGCAAACGTTTTTTGAAGTGAGTGTGTTTTTGGATTTGCCAATACATTTGGTTTAAAAGTACATTGCTCCATTTCTTTTTCATCCTTTTCTTTTCGTTTCTCTTCAAGCGATTGTTTCTTCTTCTTGTCAAAGTTCAATAATTGTGTAATTCGTTCCTCTACTGATTGAGATTTGTCACTTTCAATTAGTTTTGATTTTTCGTTGATACGAGGCTTGAAAGTGAGCTCCATTTTGATTGGAGATCCCTTTGGAGTCTTGCTCCCGCTTGATAGGAGCCTTTCTTTAGACGAGTGAGGAAGTCGGGAAGCAATCTCCTCTGAGACAGGATTAATTCTTGGATGGTGAAGAAGATTCTCCTTTTCCAACAATTTTTCCATTCTCTCAACTCTCTTGATTCTAGAATTTTCTTCTTGGTGGTACAAGTCATCATACACAGGTTCCTCTCGTTCAAATTCATTCCAGTTAATTTTAGGATTAAAATCAAACATTTTCTTTTCATCTTCAAGATGTTGAAGTGACATTTCTTGTTTCTTTTCGCTCATCTTGAAACTTAACTGATAAAGTCTATCAGACACGCTTCCATCTCGTATCATTTTGGCAGCTTGAGCGGTAATTTTAGGGGTTCCGGGAACCATTGTTCCAAATTGTTCTTCTGCCATCTCTTGTACACGTTGTTGTCTAAGGAATTCTTTTCGTTCAAAAGCTTCCTCTAATGATAAATTTTCTCTCAAACTAGCTTTCTTTCTCTCAATAATTTTGAGAGTTCTTGGATTGAGTTTTGGTTTGAAAATCTCCTCTTCCATTTCTTGTTCTTCCTTCAATTCTCGTAGTTTGTTCAATTTTTCATCTCTCTCCGAAAGCCATGACCTATTTACTTGACTTACGTCCTCTCGTCCCTTCATTTCTTGCCCCATTTTAGAAATGGAAGGTTTGAAAGAGGGTTCCTCATTGAGCTCGCTCCGAATGGTATCCAATGTGTCTCTTCTGAGTCTTTCTTGCTCTTCAAATCTTTCAACAAAGCTTGAGTTGTTTCTTTTTTGTAAAGAGTTGAGAACCAAACAATAATAAAGAACAATAAATGAAAAGCAAGGAATCGCATTGAATGGATACATGTTGCATCAATAACAAGTGTCCAAAGATTTTTGATTTAGGAATGATTGCTGAGAATGCTGCGCTACTTACTGGTCCCCTTTGTTGACAAGTCTTCTTGATTCTTCGCTAATGTTGGGACGGAATGTAATCTGTAACCAAGAAAATTTGTTCATGTGCAAATATGACCTCTACTTAGTATTTACATTGCATAAACCACATACCTCGCTATAGTGCTTATCCCTTAATTGTTCTTTTCGCTCCTCCATCATCTTGCCTTCCTCCAACAATTTATGCTCAATGGGTGGTTGCCTAGGAGTGTTTGATGATGATATTGTTAAGTTGGAATTGTTAGATCTACTTGTATTAGATGTACTATTGCCTCCTTTGAAATTTTTGAAATTGTCATCATCGTCATCGGATGAGTCATAGATGGAAGAAGCATTGAGCTTTAGCTTATTAATGATGGCCTCAACACTTTCACCATCTTGGGTGATCATTTTGAGTAATGATTTCATATGAAACCGAGCAAGTCCAGTATCAATGGTCTACTGCCGCACGAAATTATTGTTCACTACTTACCATCAATGTTTCTTACTCGCCTCTGCGAATTTAAATCCACCTTTCCCCACGATGCTGCTGATGAGGATGAAGCAGAGGCTCCACCCTCCCCGTCCTTGGGTGGAGAACTCTTTGGCGAGAGTTGTTGAGTTTGTGTTTTGAGCCATTCTCTACTCTTGGCCAACCGTTTTCTATGAGCTTCAAGTTTGGCATCTCTATATATTGTGAATATTTTGAATGAAAGAATGTCCATCAGAGATCATGGGTAAATAATAGGCATCCAGGACCAAAGCACGTAGTAAAAGTATTCATCAGGTTGATGAAAATATTAAATAATGATGAGGATAAATGTATTTTCGTCATAATCAACAACCTACATGGCACGTCCGAGAAGTGAATCTAAGGGTGAACTCATTTTTTTAGAAGAATCCTTAAAGAATTTGTGTAACGGCTGTTTTCTTATTATCATCATGTGGTTTTGAATTTCAGTCTTCAACCTATTTCTCAGAGTGAGTATAACTATGTAAAGCTTGTACTCGGAATGATAGAACATTCTATCATTTCATCGCGTTATTACCTTAATTACCTTTGTTGTGCTTGCGGTCTGTAGTAAGAGTCGTTACGAGTCGTTACAATTTTAAAAAAAATCATCATGTCCACCAAACTGCATACTCGTGAAAATACAACCTCTGTGAGCGGTGTGTCCGGAGTGCATAGCTTTGATCGAGATGAGGTTGATAGCTTTGCAGAGTACATTAGTAATCAGCTTAAGGATGATGTGGATGTTCAATCCAAGATGCCAGTAGTAGGAGATGAACTATTCAATGCTGTTAAGGATGGTATTGTCTTGTGGTAAGTAAACGACGGCCTGTAGTTGATGATGGTAATGTCCTCCATATACTTTGATCATGACTGCCCTCAACCCTTATTATTGCACTTCCTTGTTCAATGTATTGGATTTTGAAAATCGAAATTCGTCATTGCGCTGTGCTTGATCATATCGTTACACTACAGCAAGCTGATCAATATTGCAGCTCCCAATACCATCGATGAACGTGTTATCAATGTAAAGGTACCACTAAATCCATGGCATATCAATGAGAATTGTGAGCTTGCCATCAATTCTGCTGCCGGCATTGGTTGTAAGACTGTAAACATTACTCGATCCAGTATTCAAGAAGGAAAACCACATATTGTTCTTGGATTGTTATGGCAAGTTATTAAGAAGAGCGTCACCAAAGACATTACCATTAAGCATCACCCAGAATTGGTTCTCCTCTTGAAAGAGGGTGAAGATATGGAAAGCTTTGTTAATTTGCCCATCGAGGAAATTCTCATGAGATGGGTCAATTATCACATTGCCAAGTCTCCATTGAATGGAATCAAGAAGATCACTAACTTTTCTACAGACATTGCTGACTCTGAAATTTATACACATCTTCTGAGTCAAGTTGCACCAGGTGTTTGTGATTTGAGTCCTCTCCAGGAAGATGACTTGACCAAGAGAGCCAATCTCATGCTTGATCAAGCTGAAAAGATTGATTGCCGCCAATTCATCAAGGCAGGAGATGTTGTCAAGGGCAATACCAAATTGAATTTGGCCTTCATTGCCAACTTGTTCAATACAAGACCAGCTCTCGAAGTACCACAAGACATGAACGTTGCTGATTATGCATCCTTGTTGGATTTCAGTTCGGAAGGAACCAGAGAAGAGAGATCATTCACATTCTGGATTCAAAGTTTGGGCTTGAATGTAAATCACCTGTTCGATGATTTGCGTGATGGTGTTGTGTTCGCCGACTTGTGCGAAAAGATTAAACCAGGAGCTGTTGATCCAAAGAAATACTCTACAAATCCAAAGAATCCATTCCAATCCATTGCAAATTGTAACTATGCACTTGACGTTTCCAAGTCATTGGGTGTTCATGCTGTCGGAATTAGTGGAAAAGACTTTTATGACAAGAACAAGAAATTTGTTTTGGCTGTGGTATGGCAATTGATGAAAGTTTCACTTTTAAACACTTTGAAGAATGTTGGTGGTGGTAAACCAGTCAGCGAAGATGATGTGTTGCATTGGGCCAATAAGAAGGTCGGAAGCCTAAAGATTTCATCGTTCGAGGATTCTTCGTTGAGTGACGGCAAATTTTTGGTTCATTTGTGTCATGCTGTGTCTCCACAATCTTGTAATCTGGAAATGCTTTCCGAAGAGAGTGAACTCAATGCCAAGTACGCCATCAGTGTTGCCAGAAAGATTGGTGCTGTAGTTTTCTTGTTGTGGGAGGATATTGTTGAGGTCAATAAGAAGATGATTTTGAGTTTTGTTGCCTCACTCATGTTGGCTGAGTTGAATTTGAAAAAGCAATAAGTGATTGAATGTTGTGTTACGTGTTCTTCGCATCGACAAGTAAACAACTTTTGGCATGCTTCGTTCTACAATTGTCATTTTGGAGTCGTACTTGTTGTATTAACAATCTCACCATTGTGCGTCCAAGTTTCATGACCTGCCATGCGTTTAAAATCACTTTTAAAGACATGTTTCAACAACCGTCACTGCCTTCAAGGCGTGCCTAAAATTCATTCCGACTCTCTAAAAGAATAATTGATTCTGTTTACGCAAAGGCGCTGTTTTGTTTGTCAAATGTTTGTAACCAGTGAGCACGCGGAGTGTATCACCACAAAAAAACCAATACATTGTTGCACCGTTCGCTGGTGTCTTGAGCAAAGATCCTTTCTTCTTTCATTGTCTCCCAAAAGACGCTCTCGGATTTTCGAAAGATACACACTCTCTCATAGAGCCTTCAGTGACAACCACACCCAATTGTTTGAACATCAAGCCCATCACGATTTTGAAGGAACGTAATCAGAATTAATAGTTACCACTACGACGTGAACCGTAAAAGACCACACAAAGTCTTGCATTTCCCTTTCTCTTCTCTACTTCACATCAACAACTATCAATTTCTGTGTGTATTTTTCTTCTTTCAAAGAAGAAATCAGACACTTAACACACTCTCTATACATTTCACAACATTGTTCACATCTCAGATATACACTCAATTGCCGATATTCCTCTTCTTCTCGTGGTAACACCATCGAGCATCAAAACATTTTTCTATTTCAGTTATTTCCAATCGGCTTTCAAAAAGACATTCAAAAAGAGAGAACAGAGCCTTTTCTACTACAACACAACAACAACTTTCAAACGAACAACAATAACAACTGCTACTCTTCATCAACTTCTCTGGCATATTCTACTCGCAAGTACATCCCACAAGAAACACACTCAGCAACAACCCGCATCATGAAACGACTTCTTTCCTCTCTCGCTCAGCAACATGAAATGGTTATCAACAGCCATAACAATGGACCGTTAGCACTCGGAGAACATTCCAACAATGGCTCTTCAACGACGAGTACTACATCAACTCCCCGAGAACAATTACTTGGAACACCTCTCGCTGCTACGAATGGAGCTCATCATCGAGCCTCTCATACCTTTCAAACCATACTACTACTACCATTTGTAATAATACATTGATTCCTTCATCATCCTCGGGTGGAAGATATCGAAGCCTTTCCAATAGTAGTTCTCCACAGCCAACACCACAACGTCGTGCAAGTCGATGTCTTTCTCCACCCACAACGAGTAGCACTTCACCCCATAACAATATATCTCCCAGTAATAATAATAATAACACTCTCCACGCTCAACTCTATTCGCTACAACAACAACAAAAGAATGAAGCCTTGCATTTGAAACATATTCAAGTAGCGAAACTGTACAAGTTTAATTTTGAGGATTTGTATGATTGTTTGGAAATTCGAGTCTTGTTTAAACAATTTCTCATCAAGAATCAGAATGAAGAAAATTATTATTTTGATCAGATTTTGGACTCGGAATATAAAAAGTTGAAATCAAATCGGAATCGCTATCATATGGCGAAGAGAATGATTGAAACATTTGTGAAAGCAGGAGCTCCTTATGAATTGAATTTATCGGAAAAGATTAAACAATCTGTGTTGAGGGAATTTCAAAAAGCGACTCCTGAGAATTGTCCACTCGATATGTTCGATAGTGTACAGTATCAAGTATTGACATCAATGAGATTGGTAGGTGTTGGTTGTATTAGTGAGCACTCAGTTCAGTATTCATTCTTTTTTTAATTTATCACCCTTATGAAAAATTTCTTTTGTGAAAAATTTATTATTCCCAATCGATGGACAAAAATTTCTCCAATACTAAAAACCTAAGGACGCCTATCCCAGATTCATTCAAAGTGACGAATTTTTGAGCTTTATTGGAGGCAAAATTTCATCCTTTAAGAATTTACAACAAAAATTGAGATTTATCAAATCGATTGGTGCTGTCAAAAAAGTGGCACCTCTCGAAAAATCATCCTCCAAAGGCAATCTAAGAAAAAGCATCAATGCTAAACAAAAGAAAAGCGAAGAAGAAACGGTCAAAGAATCACTCATGATGGATCAAATCGATACGGAAGACAACACTCCTGAAAATTTAGTATTACCAGTTGAGGAAATATTAGGAGGATTTGAGGCAATACCTTTCATGGCTCCCACTCCAACCTCAATGACGACGACGACAACGACTTGTCAAAGTTCGAATCCAACGAGTACTACATCTCCGCAAGTCTCCACAGTGACCACTCACTCGGTGAGCTCTACCGATATTAGTGAACCATCCTCCATCAAACGTTCCATGTCGAGCATTGTTGGTCACTTGTTCAACAAATCATCACCCAATAATAGTAATTCTTCCACATCATCCATACAACCTTACATTCACACAACGAGAACGAGAAATGCCAGTGGATCTGTGTGTGACTTGAATTTTCACGAGTCGTCCACTGGTGCATCAAACCATAAGAGCGCAATAGCCATTCGATTGCATGACAGTCTTCCAAGAGCCATTGCTCCAATTAATAATTTTATTGTTACTCCTTGTAGTGATGACGAGAAGGATGACGACGAAGATGAAGACGATGAAGAAAGCGAAGAGGAACATGAATCAACACCAACCGAACACGAACGTGTCAAGAATTTTGACAAAATCATGCACAAGAGCTCACTCTTTGAAAAATCTCTCTCATCAGAACGACCATTTCATGAATCCACATCGAATGAGGCATTGGAACCAAACGATCACCACTTGTGGGACGAAGTTGACACGTGTCTCTCCGATGAAAGTTCTGAAGAGGACGAAGACGACGATGAGAACGAGGACGAATTAGAAGAAGAGATGATTGGTGGCAATTTAGCGGCTGCAGCCAAACAAATTACAGTCTCTACATCTGCCGTAGCCAATAATACGGTCATTCCCTTACTCGAAACCTTGTCAGCTTTTATGGAAAAACTTCAATTAACAGTGGATGAAATTGAAATAATGAAAACAGAATATCAAAATTACATGAATAATTATTCGAGTTTGGAATTGAATACAATTTTAAAGCAAGTGGATTCGTCTCCAAAGAAAGACAATGACTGGACCATGATTCAACTGCAACCTAAAACTCGAAAAAGATCCATTCTGAATCGTAATCAAGCAAACAAGACACTGGATGTTGTGAGTCAATATAATTTGAAAGCTCATTTTGCGAGATTTGATTCACCAGTATCGGATGATGTCACATACATGCTACGTCGATCATGTAAATTACCGTACAATGCATTCTCAGTATTGCAATTGTTATGCGATGAGAGTAGTTATGAAACCATGGTGAATCCGCTATTGTTGGCACCTGCAGAATATATTGAATTTGTTGTCAAAGACACTGACAACTCGTATGCCTCTTTAATTTCATTGGAAGGAGCTAAATGGCCTTGGCCACTCAAACAACGACACTATGTCACTACAGGCACCGTCATTTCTGACATTTTGAACGATGAAAAGGAAAATCCCAATCGCAAGCGATACATTATTTTGAAACGAAGTGTTGTTAACAATGCCAAAGTAGAAATTACACTCAATAAGAAGGAAAATCCCAATCGAGTCATTGGTGTGAAACTTGAAGCCTATTTTGTCGAGTCTTCCATTGCCAATGAATGCACCTTGACCATGTTCAATGAATGGCGTTTCACCAATGTCAACAAATGGACCTTCCCATCGAAACTCTTCAAAAAATCACTCAAACTCTTCACCAATGATTTCCATCACGCCTTAATTGACAAACTTTCGAGTGCCACGATTTTACATGCTACGAGTTATAGTGATTTTATTAGCAACAGTGAAGCTCAAGAACATTCTCCTAGCACCAAGAAGGACAATACTCTTTTGCACACCTTGTTTAGAAACGATGCTCTTCCCAAGAAGGATGAAATTAAGAGCAAAGTGAAGAACATTTTCCATACCTTGTCGTTGATGAAACTGTTTGAATATGATTTGAATGAGACGTGTCGAGTGATTGAGGAACGACAACATGTGGTCGATCACAATGCCACACGACAACAACAACAACCCTCAGAATAACATTAAGAGAGCCATCAAATACAATGTAAGCACATGTATTTAAACATGTAAAGTCATGTATCAGATTATTATTGTTTGATATTTTACATTCACCATCAAGTTCACTGTTTAATTGTTTCATTGCTGTCTCTAAATTTTTGGCGCCAATTTTAAAACTAAAAAATTGAAAATGAACAGCGAAAGTATGACCGAAGATTTGAACACCAATCTCAATGTTCTTCAACAAGCATCAAGTATTTTGGATGAGGAATTGGAAGAATTAGGGGATGGTCCCTTTGGAAAACTGTCGTTGGAACAATTAGCAAAGACCTCAGATCCTTCTCTATTCCTAATGATGGATGGTTTAAATTCGGGATTTTCTTCCTTTGTACCAACACCACGAGAGGTTGTAAATTCTACTTCTGAAACGGAGGAGGAAGCACAACAGTTGGAACGAGGGCAATTATTCGATAAAACTATTCCATTGAAAGAAGAGAATGAAACGAATTTTCATCCCTTATTATTGCAAGATACTGAATTGTTTACAAGATATGTGACTCCGAGTGGAAATGTCATTGAGAGAATTGGATCTGAATCTATACAGATCAATCATAACAAGATTATTCAGTTTCCGAACAATTCCTTTGGAAACAACAACGAGCTCAATAATACAAATATTGAACACAATAGTCAAGAATTAACTGAATATAAGGTAACAATGAAAAGCCCTCAAGACGAAAGCTCAATGATTGTTGATGAAGCAAGTTTAATACCTACATTTACAGAGAGAAAATCTGTGGCTCATAATATTCGTCTTTTAGCTGCCTCTAAATTATTGAATGAAATTCCCGATGAAGAAGAAGAGTGCAGTGATGAATGGCTTGTATCTCCTCGATCAAAACCCATCGAACATTCAACTGCATCGTTGAATACAACATCTGTACCAATAACTGCAATCAATTTGAAACAGCCACAGACAGCGACTCAACAACATGGTTCCCACCATCAGATCAAGACTACATTAACGATGCATGATCAAGACATGAAAAAGAATGAAACCAACAACAATATCAAATCCAATCAGCACCATCACGACAATGTGTCTACGGAAAGTTTCTCATCGTCGTCTTCAGAAATTTCATCATCCATTAGCGAGGATGAGAATGATGAGGAATTTCATGTCGATGATACTTTATCTGATAAGGGGCTTTCCACACGAAAAACCAATGATGCAAAAGCCAGCAAGTACAAGACCATCTCGTCTCTTCCTTCAACAAGCTCAGGAAGTTTGGCTTCAAAACTTCAAAACTCCAACAATACAACTCCAAAAAACACTCTTGCCACAACTCGAAAGACACAACAAAAGGCCAGTGACTCTGCCTCCTCCTCTAAAAGTTTTAGGGAAGCTACTGGCTATAAACCTCAATTTTTTAACCCTCCAGATGAGGTGAAATGTAAGGAACCCTCTGAACAAAAGAAGCAGCAATGGGATAAGAAAAAGTCAACTCACGTAACGAATTCGAGTCATGCATCATCAGCAAAAAAGCCGTCTGTGAGAGACATTCCAAACTCCACAATCTATCCACCGCCTCAACCTCACACTTCACCCAAACGACCAAGTATGAATCGGTCATTGATTGAGCCACCCTCAAAGAGTGCCACTACCGAGAAAACAACATTATCTTCTCATGCATCGAATGGAACGACACAGCAGAAAAAACTCGCACTCAACACCTCCAGCCATGCTGGAAATAATCAACATGCCGAAGTTGCAACCTCTTCAAAGAAGGAAAGCAATATTCCAAAACCATCCTCAAGAGCAACCACACCAACCTTTTCATACGTTTCGCAATCTGTAGAATTGAATCACATGTATGAAGAGCCATTGGAGGCCTTAGAGGCGTCACATTATGGAGTTGACACGAATAGTGAAAATTCCTTTGATGAAAGTCATGACGAATTTGAGCTCGACGAATTAACAGCCTGCAGTGTCTCTGATGTTGTAAATTCCAAAAGCTGGAAGCTCATGCGATGGCGTAGAGACAATTTGAGAGAAAAGAATTTCTCTTCGTCGTTGAAGAAGTTAACAGCCAATCGAAACAGCCAACAACAAGAGGAGCTTTCCAAAATACCTCAACAGCTACTGCAAAAAGATCAAAATTACGAATCGTGTGTGATTGCTAGAGATATTACCAATGAAATTATTGACTGTACAGTTCAAAAAGTGACGGCTCAGAAGAGCCAATTCATCCATCTCCCAGAAGTGACAGTTTCTCTTTTCGGTAGTATTGTGCTTTCAAAAACAGTGGAGGAAATGCTGACACATGCATTGCTGTCTTCGCCGAGCTCTCACCAGCATGTTGCCAAGGTTTCAATATCCATCTTTTCAAGTGTTTCAGGAAAAATACCAGACTATGTTGAGAACAATATTCCTTGTTTTATTGAGCTTTTTAAACCTGCAAATCTCAACAACATCAAAGCGTACTATAGTACATTTGTTAACATACCTAACAATATTTCGAGCTTGGTGGGCCGCAACACCAATCAGCTGATAGGAACTTTTTACTACGATATTGATCTACTGGCCCAAGAGGTGAAAATTAATTTAACCAACAAGTCGTGCTATCAATGGAAAGATGCTAGCACAATATATTTTCCTTTCGAGAAGAGTGAAAAATTCGAGGGAGACTCGTCTTCGTTGAATGCTTCACTGATGACCTTTTTCAAGCTCAAGCGTGGGGATACGAAAACTGACAGCTCTGAGATTCCATACATTTTGAATGCCAAGAAGAACATCTCTAAGGTGGCTCAATCAAAACGGTCTGTTGGTGAAAGCAATATTTATGCCGTCAACTTGAATTCCTCAGAATCCATGATAGAATCTCCTCTTCCAGTGAACAAGTCCTTATATAACACAACACTACATAGCGAGGATATTCAGCTCTCTCCAGTTTTTATGCCAACTTCACCAGTACAGCCACATCACCAAATCGGTCAAAGGAAAGCAGGAGCGACAAGCAATGCAGGTGAGAGAAATCCAAAATGTTGTTTCATGTAACAATATAAAATATTCAAATTGTAATTTACAAATTTATGTACATTCACAGTGGAATGGAAGTAATTTAATAATAAATAATTTAAATAATTTAAATGAGTTTCTTTGTTTTGAAGAAGCCTCTAAGATTATACAATTGCCAAACAGCTAGAATAATTTTTGTGTAGTCAAATATTAATTGGGAATATTGTGTGGTATGTTTTGAAAATATGTTATAAAGAGTGAGGTTATTAATGGAGGGTAATCATTGCGTTATCAAAATGAATCAATATTTTGGAATTCAGAAATACGTACTCACGACAACTAGAAGAATAAATTTCACAAAACCAAGCCAAAAGGTTCTTTCATAGGTGCTGTCAGTAGTGTCACGGAATCGAGTTTCTCTCACACGGAAATAATTCTGCTCGTCTGACACTAATTGAATTTGTTGCTTGACATCTTGCAACAAGTTGTTAAGTCTTTCAATTTTCTCCACACTTTCATGCTCACCCAAAGTATGATGATGAACGTCAACTTCAACCTTCACATCGACATATGTAAACTCGGCAAATTGAGAATTATAAGTGAAACACAATTCTAGTGGAATGATTGTTTTCAAACAAATAGACAAGTGAAAAAGTTTCACAAAATCGTTGTCCATGCATTATTACAATAATTGTCAGGAATTTTCATAATATTTCCAATGTTTCATCAACACAATTAGAATACATGGATTCATCATTCCATTAGCACGTACCATATTCGCCAGTAACATCGGATCTGGCCTTCAAATGATACACGTTCTTTCGTAATGATTCCAATCGTTCATCCTTCAAGGTCTGACCGAATGGATCCATAACCGTGAAATGAATGGAATCAGCAATAGAAAAAGCAGTAGTTACTGAAACTTTGAAAGGAGTATTCTCACTTTTAATTAAACCAATGATGATGACCATTGTGTTGTGTATCATCAACAAAGTTCGGAAAAGTTGAGAAAAAGAACAAAACCAACCTCAAGTGTTCATGTAAACAAAAACGATGATCTCTTGTTAAATGAATGAGGGTCGCATTGGAATATTCAATTTGACTCATCATTATGAAGAACACAACAACAACGGAAATTGTTGCCATCATTGTAAAAAATCTCACGCTATGGGATGATGTCATTTTTTCTGCTCTTTTTCTCGTTCGGGTGATGAAGTGAACGATAATCAAGAGGATGGATATCATCATCTGTTGTTTCAGCCTATCCTCATCATCAAGAGAGAGAAAATTTGTGTGCTCTGAAAGAATATTAAATACGGCTTCTACTTGGTTTGATGATGCAAAGCAACAAACACCTCAATTTGAGATTCTTGTTGAATCTGGAGTGCTTCTCTTGATCAATGAGTTTCATCTTTCTCATGTGTGAGAGTAGATTCATTCTCTCAAGAACGTTCTTTTTGGAAGGAAGCTCTATCTGAGAGAGAGCGAGAGAAAGCCTTGAAATTTATTCAAACGTTACGAGCTCTCCCAATCTAATTATTCAAGAATTTGAATCTTTCCGAGAGTCTCATGTACAACCAACACAAGAAACGATATCCATCGATAGAACTAGTGAAGAAACCCTCTAAAGCTTTTTGGCTTTTTCTGAATTGCAACTCGAGTTTTATATTAATGGAGGATAGAATACCAATGAATCATCCAACACCAATGCCCCTACCTCCTTCTCACTTGATTTCTTCTGTTCGTGCTCGAACGGTTCCTGCTCTCCTCAACTCGATTCGTTACCAAACGAAAAACGAAAATGACACATTGAAATTTTCCATGCTTCTCATCATCCTTCATGGCTATGGTCATTCGATGGGATGTGATTTCGCTCCACACCTCTTCGTTTTTTCATGTCTTGTGTCTGAAGGAACACCCGGCATGGTATTGATTGTGATTAATGCCGCTGTCAAAAAATCATCCAACGCGTGCCGTTGCCATTTAGAGCATGTCAAACGTCTTGAAAACCATGACAAAATAACACGTTGGCAGATGATGGAAAATCCAAGAGCGAGGTCATTTCGCACCAATTTTCAAAAAGTCATTTAAAAGGAAGTTTCATTATGGCAAAAACGATTCATTCAAAAGAAAAAAACACCTCTACTCACTCCCTCCTTTGGTTCACAGTGGTTCTGTCACCTGCCATTCATTTGTGAAATCCAGCAAGCATCCAACAGATCTTTATCGAACTATCAATTCACAAATGCTGTTCGTCATGAATCATCATCAGCATCATCATCAAGAATCGACACCATTGAACTTGCATGATTATTCATCCTCTGCAAGTCAACACGACGACTCGAGTCAGCAAACATTTTCCAGTACTAGTGACTTGCATGCGTCTCCTAAACGAACTGTTTCTCCAAGACAGCAGCAACCACAACCACACAAAAGAAGCACTTCCAAGTCTTTGGACACTTCTCCTCCATCTTCTTCGGGAGTTCACAAAACTTACAAAATGTCCAACGCATTGACAGCATCCCCACAACTTGTTAAAAACACTTCACAACAACAACTCTCTATGGATTTGGCATCAGCAACACCACATGCACCAGATGACAAATTCAGTCGACCTCTTCTAAAGAATGAAACAGTTCTCTGTGAAAAGAATCCAAATTTCAAAGAAAATTATTTCGTCTTTGAAAAGAAGAAGGAGAAAACACCACTCGCTTTTTATAACATTTCTGTGAATGACATTTTGAGTGGTGGTGTGAAATCCATTGGAAACATGAGTGCTACTGCAACACAACAGAATTCTCAAAAGCAGAAAAAGAAGAACAAGTTGAATCAAGCCGCTCAACAACATGTATTCGTATTGAATAACTCCTCTCCAACTGCATCATCTTTGAAAGGCAGAAGAACACATTCCTCAAAACATTCTTCTTCTTCGGGTCATTCTTCATCGTCGTCTTCGTCTTCTAATGAATTGGATTCCCCAACTGAAATTTCAACAAACACCACTGCTCCAACCTCTTCCCATCCCATGTTTCATGTTGGTTCCGTGGTGACACCTCAGTTTGTACCATTTTCAAATCCACATGTCATGCAAGCAAATTCTCAACATGTGTTCAACACTCAAAATTTTAGTGGAAATGTGTTGAATGTACAACCTCCATTGAATGCTGTTTCAATGACGCCGAATGTTTTCATTCCATCCACTCCTTCAACATGCTTGATGTCAAATGCATCGCACATACAGCAGAATGTAACAAATTCACAGAATTCTCTCTTGCAAAATGCACTCGTTTTGCAGCACAATCATGCATCGTCATCTTCAATGAATGGCATGGACAATTTAATGACACAATTGGATCAAAGTCTGAGACAACAATTAGCTCAGAATGGCTTACAACAAGATGCAGCGGTTTCCATATGGCAACAACCTACTCATCAAGAATATAATATTTATCCATCCAATATTTCTCCAAGTTCATCTGTCACTTGCCAACCAACATTTACCCTCAATTCTACTCCAATAATTTCCTCTCAATCTTCTCCTTTCATTGTGATGAATTCATTCCAATCTCCAATGAATAATAACAATATATTCATGAACTCTCCATCTTCCCATCGAAACCCTTCCTCATCTACCAACGCTAGAATTACTATTAATGTAAATAATTTTTCTACCCCTTCAACAACATCATCCATAACTCATCGTTTAGAAAGTGATTTGAAAGAGAGTTCTAAAGAAGATGATTCGCCAATTTCGAGTGTAATGTCTCAATTACTTGAAGTGACCATGAAACAGCAACAACAGAATTTTGCACTTGCTCCTCAAGAAACCACAAACCTCCTTCGCAATTGACAAGTGACACTTCTTCATCTCAGCAACAACTACAACACCATAATACACCTTTGGCCATCGATGAGGTGTCTCAACAAGATACTTTAATCTTTTCCGAGTTGTTGGAGCACAACCCACTCCAAATAGAGAATCTCACCGATTACCAAACCATGGTTGAATTCTTTAACTCACTGATGGACAACCCACACGATGTTAATAAACTGTAAACGATTCTAAAAAACTGTAAGTGAGATTTGCTATTTTCCCGAATGATCGGCCCGCAGATCGGCCAAATGAACGGCTGTTCCACCGAGACCATTTCCAACTACTATTTAAAAACACGAGGACGCTGTCGTTGATTGGATTTCACCTCAACACACAACAAAAAAATGTCGTTACAAGATTCTCAACCCGGCATCAGTGGTGCAAAATTGCATTGGGAAAAAGTCTACACGGAAAAGCCCAACGATGATCAAGTGAGTTGGTTTCAACAAGTTCCCGGAACCTCTCTCACTCTCATTCAAGAGTGTTCTCAATTTTTACGAAATGAAAATGACACTCCACAACAGCTGATCGACATTGGTAGTGGAAATTCCAATCTCGTGATTGAATTATTAAAGACATGTGTAAAACAGCAGAAGGATACAGAAATTCCTTCTTTGATTCGTTCCTTTATTTTGGTTGATATTTCAGGAGCAGCTTTGGAGAGAACTCGTGACAAACTTTTCAAAGAAGTATCAAGAGAGCAAATTTCGAACGAAGGATTGAAAGTGGAATTTGTTGAGAGTAATGTCTTGTTATTGGATCAACACACAATGTTTCATTCCCAAATTCCAAGTGTTGACATTTGGCATGATCGAGCGACCTTTCATTTTCTGACAGATGAACAAGATCAACTCTCATATTTGAAAGTCTTGTCTAAAATGTTGCGAGTTGGAGGTTATTTCGTATTGGCAACTTTTTCTTCAAATAATGGTCCTAAACAATGTAGTGGATTGCCCATCGTTCAATATAGTGTTGAAAAATTGGAAATGCTCTTTGAAAAGGTCAAAGATTTGATGGAATTTAAGTGTGTTAAGAATTTTGAGCAAATTCATGTGACTCCATTCCAAACACAACAAAACTTTTTGTTTTGTGTTTTTCAACGAGTGAAATAATATTGAAATTGTTTACAAGTAAATGAATTGTTTTTTCTTTAAAAATAAAAATGTTTCTCATCATGATGAATCGTAACAAGAGATACTGAGTACTGCGAGAGAGATAGGTTTTGATAATTACCATTGAACTCTCCATAGGGAGAGAGAGAATAACAGAGAGATGAAATTCATTCAGCATTAATAATGTCGCGATTACTTGACTATACAGACTGGAGTCGGTATCATCCGATGGTTTCATCTCAATCACAGAATTTTCTTTCTTCTCAAATATTATCTCAATATCCAATCATTCCTAATAATACGAACGATACGAATATCACTGCCATAAGTTTTCCATCGACCTTTCAATACATTTCCTTTTCATGGAATATTCCATTTCTCTTCATCTTTCCGGTTCTTTGTTTGAGATGTCTCCTTTTGTTGCGATCCGAACGAAAAACACTCAATAGAAATCAAAAGATGTTATTCTCATATTTGTGCGTATTATGTGGAGTGGCTACTTTTAGTATTTTGACTCGAGTTGGTTCAGAATTGAGCTTTTTACACCGAATTTGCAAACGGCTGAAAAAATCTATGGAGCATTGAAAGGAATTGATCGGGCTGGAGTAGGATGGGTTTCATGTGTTGAATTTTTCTTAATTTCGAATATTGCCATGGTCTTGTAAGTATTGTATATATTTCCTTATTTTGGTAGTCGAATATTGACTTGAATATTATTCCCTTAATATTTCATGTACAAAAAAAATAGTGTTCGTTCCTCATGGGGAGTTGGAGCTGTATCACGAATACGGTATCAACTCTCTCGATGTGTGATCATTTTCTTTCAAATCGTGTTAGCCATACTCACCTTAGCTGTTACTCTCCTAACGAATATTCTTGGAGCATTGACTGCTGCGTTGGGAGAAGCTGCTCCGATCACTCATCAATTAGAAGTTGTGGTATTTGTGGTTTCAGCTGCTGTATTTTCCTTTCTTGTCTTCTTTTTGTTTGGAATTTTGTTTGTAAGTCTAAATATTTGATAGTATTTTAAGGTTTTCAAATCACAAATTTTGAATTTTTAAATATCATAACATTATTATTATCGTTATTATTTTCATCAAGGTCAATGGTTTGAGAATTATGAGAGTACTAAAAGCTGGAGAATTGAGAGCTCGGAACATGTCTTCTCAACTCGCCTATTTCAAAGATCATGATGAAGAGAATGCACTACCAGCGCAAAAAGAAGAACCACCAGAGTCAACCTCTCAACCATCTTCTTCAACTCCAAAACGAGATCAATTAGCTCAAGACAAGTACAGCAGCGGGGAACAGTTAAAGATTATTCAAATGAAACAACAAGCTCTGAAACGAGTATTTCAATTTCTGATTGGAATTACAGTTTCAATGGGTCTTCAATTTATTGGAGTTTGTTTCATACCCTTGTATTTGATTAACAAGTATTTGGGTTTTGTGTTTTATGTCTTGTACAATACTTCGATTTGTTCCATGGTCATCATTTTTGTGATTATTCAGAAACGAGTGAGTGAAATGCAGAAATTGTTTGATCAGGACAAGAAGAAGGGAGAAGTGAAAAATTCATTGTTGGAGACAAGTAAGGGAGCAGCTGCTAGGGTAACCAATAATGATGAGAGAGGAAAAGAGGTTGTCAAAGAGGATGCAAGTGTGGTGTAATTATGTTGAAATATCTAGTGAGGGTAGTACTCCAATGGTTCTAGTTGAGCAAATTGGCCGACTCTTCCACTGAATCGAGTTATGAACCAGACCCGTGTTGTGAAATGACATGAAAAAGAGATGAGCAAGAATATCTCTTTTCATCATGTGATTTCATGTCATCCTTAGGTATACGAGCTTGTTTTTGTAAAATATCTCTGTAACTCTCGGCAGCACTAATTTACAATTAGATAAATTCTCAAAATCAAAAGCAGCACAAAATGCTTGAAAAACTCTCATCACCACTGAGCACTGATGTAACATCCTCGGTGACATTATTTGAGATAGGGAAGCACTTTTCAAATTCGCTACAAACAAACAACAGCGTCGAAACCATACTTAATTCGACCATTACAAATAGTACTGAAATCTTTAATTCCTTTCAATATGTTTCTTTTGGATGTAATTTTCCTTTCATTTTGATTTACCCAATTCTAGCTGTTGTGTGTTTGTTTATTTTAAAATCCGAGCACAAAGAGATGAATCGAAATCAGAAACAACTCTTTCTCTTTTTGAGCTCACTTTGTGTTGTTGCAACATGGAGCATGATGACACGTTTGGGAGCCGAATTTAGTTCTTTGAGCTCGTCAGTAATAACAGCCAATATCGTGTATGGAGTGCTGAAAGGAGTTGATAGAAGTATCACAGGCTGGGTCACGTTTGTCGAATTTTTCTTAATTTCCAACATTGCCATGGTATTGTAGGTATTTTGTTATGAGGAAATCAACAACAACAATTCATGAAAATTGTACCCTAATAGTGTTCGATCTTCAAAGGATATTGGAGCCATCTCAGAGAAGAGATTTAAAATTGCAAGATATTGTATCGTGGGATTTCAAATTCTCGTCATTGTCATGACCACTCTGATGGCTCTTCTGTTATTGGTTATGGGAATTTTGAAAGCAGTGTTTGGAGACACGAAACTGTTTCAATCTTTCGAATTGGCCATATTCATCTTTTCGACCTTACTATTCATGTTTGAGACAACTCTACTGTTTCGCATCTTGTTTGTAAGTAGTGCAAACTTTCAATTTGTTCCATCCACAAATGAAAATGTCACTAAATTCATTTGTGTGTGTGTGGCTAATCATCATAGATCAATGCTGCAACAATGATGAAAGCCTTAAAAGCAGGTGAAGGACGAGCACGTCGAATGAGTGTTCATAATTATTTCAACAATCCTAATAATCATGAAAATATGAATCCACAGATTGTGAATTCGTGTGAAATTACGAGTTCTCCACAAACTCCTGCATCTGACATCACGTCAGAAATCTTTCCTCAGCAAGAACATCAGCAACAACGAGATGATCACGCTGAACAAGTCTACACGGGAGAGCAATTGAAAATTATTCAAATGAAACAACATGCATTGAAGAAGGTCATTCAAATCTTGATGGCCATTTCAGTCTCTATGGGATGTCAATTTGTGGCAGTTTCATGCATTCCACTGTATTTCTTGAACAAGTATGTGGCGTTAGGATTTTATGCTTTGCATAATTCAACCATTGCGGCATTAGTGATCATGTTCTTGATGACGCATCGAAGAGTGGAGGAAATGCAGAAATTGTTTGTGGCAAGCGGAAAGAAATGGTTTGGCAGAAAGCGAGGATCCACGATGGTGGTGATGAATTGGAAGAGGCAGCAAGAGCAACCACATGCAAGCCATGAGACGAGTGTTGTTAAGGGAGAAACTAGCATGCAAGAGAATCAAGTGGTGCCTGTGACACACGGAGAGGATGAGATCCATACGGTGAATAGGGTGTAAAACTTTTGAACGAACAGACAAATGTCCAGCTAAAATGAGATCATCTGTATCGTAGAATAGAATCATGAATTCTCTAATTACATCGTTCTTAAAGATAATTATCATTGAAAGGTGTATTTCATGTTTGTTGTGTAATTCCAATGATTGCCTATGACGGAACCAAAAGTGTTTTGCAAGTTCAGCAGCAATACTCGACGTCTACAATAAAACATCAGCTTTTCCATAATATCTATTCACGTAGGCAACTTTGAATGGTGAAAGATCTGGTGACTTGTTCTGTGGATAGAATTTGTAAACCTTCATTTCGTTGAGGGATTTCCTTTCTTGCTCACTCAATTTATCAATTTCAGCTTGCTTGTCATCCATCTTTTTCTGAACGGACTCTTTGAATTTTTTCACTTCTGCCTTGATGAATTCCTTCAATTTATCAGTGTATTTTTCAGGGTCGAGGTCATTATCTTCACAAACTTCTTCAATAATGGTATTAATGTCATCCTCTTCGGGATCAAAACTGAATTGTACACTTCCTGACTTGTCCAACACGTACAACATTTCAATGGTACCACTATTGTCCTTCTTAATTTCGTCAATGACTCGGCTTGGCCTGAAACAATACGGCAGACAATATTCATAGACCCTGACGTCTTCTTCCTTCATTCTTGACAATAGATTTCTTCTCAAATTGCAATGCAATGCAAACACATGAGGAAGATTTGCATAATTAATTCTCTTACTTTGATTAGCCTTAGGGATGAAAGGAGTCCAAGACATTTTCAATTTTTTCATATCAATAATTTCCTCATTGACCATTTGCACGGATTTGATACCAAGCTTGGTGGGTGGAGCGAGATCACTCACAACAGCAATCATGACTGGAATGTAAACCATATCACCATTCACAAGTTGTGGTTCAGTACTTCCGAATACGAAACAATTCTTTCCCTTCTCAAGGACGTGAGCAGGTGGTTTCAATTCTTCTTCATCATCAGCAGCACTAGCAGATTCATCCTTGGAAGCCTGCTTGGCTACATCCTCATCATAGAAGAGAAAATCATGAAGATGTTCAAAATCCCATTCAATCTTGTAAGCCAAATCATAACAATTCCATTCGGTTCCGACCAAGAATACTTCCTTCCATCCTTGCCATAAATTCTCAACCTCTTCAACCCGAGGTTTTGGAATATGAGTACCATCTCTTTCAGTGGAAGCAGCGCCAGTTGTTTTTCTCTTTTTTCTTGCTTCTACAATGGCTTGTTTTGTTTCTTGATATCTCTTATATTCTTGTTCCTTCTTTTCTTCCTTGGTGAGAGGAGCAATGGATTTACGAGCTCCTCGGACCGAGCCACCACTTGCTTTCTTCTTGTAGATGGGTACATGAGAGCCATCATCCTCATGTTGGTTGCTCTCTGCTTCGGCTTCTTCTTTCGTTCTTTTATTGGTGGACGAGGGTTTTCTTCCTCTTGGCATTTTTTTTGTTCAACATTTTCGGGAGTGCGTTGGACATGGAGCTTTGATAAGTCTTTTGAGAGGAATTCGAACAAATAGCCTTAGAGTAATCATAGAAATCATCTTATCTTGATACCAAACATTATTCTACCAAAAGAAGCAAACTGGTCTTTACACTTGTCAAAAAAGTTTAAAATTTCTAACTTTTCAAAGTTTTGTCATTGGGTAAAATTGCCAAGGCTTTTATGTTTGTGAAGATAAAACTCGACAACGAAGAAGATGTATGTTTCTACATTGTAAACAACAACAAGAGTTTGGAATTAATTGGAGGAAAACTAATGGGTTTGTAACTCGCCTAACATCCATCCTTTGGAAAAGGATTGGTGTATTTTCTGCATATTTTGTCATTAGACTTTATTGACTGGGGATTTGCTTTGAACATGCGATGAATTTGCTGGTACAGCTATGTTTCTCCAATTAATTCCAAACTCTTGTTGTTTACATTATCGAAATATGATGAATCAATTCAATATCAAGCCAGATACGACTGTGAGAGTTTATTGAAATGTTTTTACATCATGATTCAGCCAGAATTAAGATTGAAATTTAAGAACAACCAAAACCATCTTCAAAAATTGCAATCTGCCATTAATACTTGGGAAGAAATCGCTGACCATGACCCAAAATTTAAATCATATCTGATCCAAATTGCACAAGGTACAGCAAATCCATATCAGGTATTGAAGGATTTTGTCAACTCTTATTTGGAAAATGGTACTGAATTTGATGATGCTGACATTGGTGATGATATTATTGATGATGAAATGATGGCTTACTATGCAAGGTATTCTCTCTCAAATCAATGCCTCTACTAGCATTAAATTCAACGGAAATAATATCTTTATAGCATTCAAAAATAGGTCCAGAAATCGCTGTTACTCGGAATTAAAGCACATCATTATTTTGAAAAGAACAACTAGTAAAATGAAGTCACCCAAAATTTTGGTTCCAACTCTTTTTCAATTGTTGAGCTGTGTCCCTTTTAGCTGGTCCATTATCAAATCAATAATTTGCGAGCCAGGAACAGCGTGATCTAGCGTATGGAAGACAGTTTTCATAAAATTAAATAATTAAATTGATGAACAAGCAGTATGTATGTTTTTAAGGTCAGAAAAATCTTTTTTCAACGAAATGTCTTGTCCATAAAAGCAGATGGAATTTGAAAGAATTTAATCCGAACAAATACAGGTAACAGACTTCAGGTTAATGCATTTTTTTTAAAAAATTATTGTAATTGACCAATTTCAAATTTGTTTTGTTTGCTGGAGTCACACCAATACATTTGTATCAAAAGTTGCATTCGTGTAACAACCTCACTCCGGAGAATCCTTCTTAAACGGAGTTTACCCGCAGTTTTCCCACGATTTTCCACTCCCTGTTGTTGCTTTCACTCAACCCGATTCAAAAAAAATAACTCCACATAATGTTGCATCTCTCCCAATCACGAGGTTCATTATTGAATCTCATCCTTCTCATCAGTTCCATGATGATGATGATGATGACACTCACATCACACGTTCATTCCCATCTCTGTGTTTTCAATCCCAAACAACGAGGTGCTTTGAACATTTCAGATTATGGAGATCCTACTTGTTTCAAATTTGCAGGTCCATGCGGTAGTAGTTATGCCATTGATTTACAACAAAATTTGAATCATTACTCGATTGGTCATCCAGGATTTTTGGATGTGAGTATCGGAGCTGGAGAGAATCCAACACCAGAACAATTCCAAGTGTTGAGCCTTTTAACCGATTATTATCCTGTGCGTCAGTGGACTCGTACTAATTTTTCAATTCCATTTACGTTAGAGGCTCAAGGAAGTGTTGGAAGACATGTCATTCGAGTGAGATATCATCCAAACAAACCAACAGAACCAGTGTTCCATCAATGTATTGATGTTGTTGTGAATGGTGCTGAAAGTAGTCGGACTGACAGACATGACGATCACAAGAAGGTCAACATTGATATTACTCCATCATTACCAGAAGTGAAAGTTGAATTCAATGAAATTGCTCAAAGATTCTTTGAGAAGAAGAACATGGCTAGTCCAGCTGTTTCCAGTGAAATGCTTTTCGCATTGGTTGCTTCAAACTCAAAAACAAATCCAATTGGTTTGAATTTGGTTGGTGTGGATATTGTGAGTGGTCAGGTCGTTCCAGTCTTGTCCTTGCCAAATCTGGTGGGTACGGATCAACATGTATTCCAACAAGGTTCATCGTCAAAGATTGCTGGTCGAATTGTGAACTCTGTCTCTGCTGTCGACAATCAAAAGAAGAGAATTTTCTACTTGATGAATACTGATACCTCATTGAGTGCTATTGAGAATTTTAATTCAGCTGCAGATGCCATCTTTGTGTATGAACATGCAACAAATTCCTACTCCATTCTCAAGATTAATGTGAGAAATGTTCCATTCAATGCCACCTCGACTATTGATACCTTGTACATTTCTGGTTTGAATTATGTGAACAAGACCAATAGCTTGCTCGCCACTGCATTGATTGTTCCAGACTCGACTCGCCCTCGCGACACCTATTTGGCCCTCTTCAATATTCCTCTCGATTCAAGCTCATTGTTGCAACCAAAACTTGTCGCAAAGAGTGCTCAACCTCAAGGTGCCTACGTAGATTTCTTGTGGAGCACGTACGATGACTCGTCTCAAACTGCCTCCATCTTGATTCGACACGAAGACGAACCACTCGCATTGTTGCAAAGAATTTACTCGGTGTCATTGAACCAAATTTCCAATACTGTTGCCACTCTTCCTTTCATTCAAGTGGATCCTTCTCAATTTGCCTATTCCTCTATTCACAGTTACAAGAATCAATTATTTGCCTTCTCTCCTGGTAGTGCTCAAAACAGCTTGCCAGTCTCAGCCTCCAACACTTGGAATTTGATTGGAGTGGATTCAAAGAGTGGACAACAAAGCTTAATCAATGAAATGTACGAATACAGAAATTATTTGGGAGGTGGAGTTGTGAGTGCAGTCTCCAATACAGGTCGAGGAATTTATAATGTCATGCAATCCACTGATGGCAAGAATCAAATTATTGTTCGTGTTGCACTTCATGCCATTCCAATTAATCCAATTACTGAAGTTGCCACTGTACCAATGACCACTAGAATTTATAACTGGGTGAGAATGGACACTAATTAATATTTGAAATTGTTGAATTGATGCGTTCATTATTGCCATACCATTTCTTATTTATTGAAAGTTCTTCTTTTACTTGCATTAAATTATTAAACATTTCAATTTTGTTAAATTCGAGGGACAACCCACTTAGAAAAAAATGTCTAAACACAATCCATCCTCTCCCTTGCCGATTATTTTAAGAGGACACGTTTCCGAAGTCACTACAGTCCAATTTAAAAAACACAATACAAGGGTTTCTTCACCATCGTTATTATTATTTAGTGGAGATTTGAAAGGACACTTAAATATATTTAGTTTGGAAACTCGGAGAGTGAAACATTCTTTTCAAAATCATCACCAACATTCAATTCTGGGTTTCTATCAACCAAAAGATGAAAATTTATTATTTTCGCAAGGAAGAGAAGGTTGTATCAAATCTCTGGATTTCAATCATGTTTCTACAACGAATAGTAATAAGGACTCTCAAAATTTTGGACAAAGTTGGAATTTCAATTCCATATTTTCATTTTGCAAATTTACTCCATTTCTTTATCATGATCATGCAATGTCGTTTTTTGTACCGAGTGAAAAGGACAATGTCTTACTTTTAGACTGTCGAATGAGTGCTGACGAGTGTAGTAAATTTTCAATAGCACCTCCTACACAAGTTTACGACAAGCCATTTGGAATGCTCACCAGTATGATGTCTATAGAAAATTCTTCCTACTTGTTATGTGCATATGAAGCAGGTATTATTGTGGAATTTGATGTTCGAAAATTGCGTAGTAATTTTTCTAATTTATCATCAACAGCAGAAACAATGAATAGCAGCAATGAATACATTACAGTGAGAAGTATTTATGATGTCAATAATCCTCACGAACCAACCATATGTATGAATTATCAATCACAACTCGATGAAATTTTAATTGGTACTTCAGGAAATTCGATGCATGTGCTCGCTCGGAAACCTCAATCTGACACGGTACAAGTTCATCCATTGGATGATTCAAGCTGTAACATTAAGCATTCCTTTGAAATGACTTCTGCTGGAATTAATGATATTTGTTGTATGAATGAGGAGTCCAGTAATCAGTTGTTCGAAAGTAAGAAGAATGAGAACGATTCTAAAAACAAACACCACTCTTCACTCATGTCTCGGTTGGCCTTTGCCGGTTGTTGGGATGGAAACATACGAGTATTTGATTTGAGAAAGAACAAGAAACTTGCCGTCTACAAGTATCACCAAGAAGGTATTCGTTCTCTCGACTATGTTGAATATTCAAACGACTCATCGTTGCTTGGCTTTACTCACGCAAACGAGAAGCAGCCGTCGGATAAAAACATTCTTCTTGCTGCTGGATCTAAAGATTCAAAAATTTCAATTTGGAATGTTGATTTTGCTGTGAAAAAGTGAGAATATTCCTCGAGTCAAAATAATGGACTTATTTGGATGCCAGTACACACATGCCATACAGTTTGGAAATGATGACGATGACGATTGAATTAAGGCTGAAAAACAACATCATGATTGAAACAACAACAAATCTCGAATGAAGAAGAGAAATAGAATGTATTAAAAGATTGATTTTGCAAATTGTCATTAGATGGTTTTCCTTAAATCATGGTAACTGAATGTGTTCATTTTCATTCCATTTATACCAACAACCCTTATATGGATCTCTTCGAAACGAATTCATTGTCATTTCGATTAAGACGAACGACTTGTTTTGAGAGCGACATACAAGAGCTCGAAGAGTGACCCTTTAACATCACAATTATGTCATGTAATAGTTACAAATTTGTTCAACAAGACCTGCTCACCACCTTTTCGCATTTGTCAAACTTCAAACAGTTCCATCATAAGGAATCTATGACCAAACTCCTTTTTTTACACGACTTTTATCTCTATTACCGCTTCGTGGAAATTGGAATAGATTCAGTAACAAAAAAGTCAAAAATTTTACAGTCCGTACTCTTTTACTATTTTCGCTCGTAAACACCATGCGAATTGCGAAACGTTTTTTTAGCAGTGTCTTCTTTGAGAACAGCAACCACCAAAAAAACAAAACCATTACAAATAACGATTACTGTTGGACCGCACATTGAAACACACATGTCTCACCACAGTAAAAAATGTGTCGAAAAACCTCTTCGAAAAGAACAAGGTTGTGTTGCAAGCAGCAAACAACTTGCTCGAGAACAACGCTCGTCACATGAACATGCATGTATTTCTTCTTCTTTTTCAATGATTCAAGTGAATGAGAGTCCTTCCATGCATGCGTTGACTTTTAATTCTTCTCCTAATATCAAGAAACATGCAACTAAAAAACAACGAAACGATACCAATTCTACAACACCAACGACAGTTTCATCATCGAATCCGTTTGATGGTTCCTATAGTTTTTCATCGTATCTGAACATTCCAGTGTCGAAGGAATTTACTGGTCGTGGTGAGAACACATCGTCGTTGACTCGTGTCAATGATGCATCATCATCATCAGAACATTTACAAGGAAAGAGAGGAAGAAAATTCAAAATACCTCCAGAATTTCAACCGAGCATGCTAGAAAGAACACGTGCAGCACAGCAACGGTTTCAAATGATCATGCATGCAACGTTTCAACTCGATCCATCACTATTTCCTCGATGCATGCAAGGACTCATGATGCATGCATTGCAAAACCACACAAGATGAAACTAGTATTGAGACAGCATCCTCATGAGGATGGAACGATGAATTTTTCTGCACAGTCATCATCATCCATGCATGCATGGACAGCATTGACATCATCGTCGTCCATTCATTCTCAGCAACCTGTTAATGTCAGTCATCATTCTCATGCAACATCGACCATGAGAGAAACACTCTCAGAGGAATGTCGTGTAAAATCCAAATGGCCATGTTTTTTGGTTTTGTGATGGGAATGATGAAAATGCATGAAGTGAAAACACATTCAATCTTGACACTTGAAAAGAAGAATAATTTGGCAGAAATGACAGGAAAGAACGAACAAGAGAAAACTAGGTCAGAGGAACTATTGGAAAGTAGAAAATCATTGGAAAAGAATGGAAGTGATTCTAATCTGAGAGAACAAGGAAAAGGATTACAGCAGCAGAAACCATTGAGAATGGAGAATCACTACAGAGAACTGCTCCTGTTCGAACATCCGTTTCGATTCAAGAGTTGTTAAATCATTGAAATGGATCATTCGAGTGAAATGAATTTTTTGTTGTTGAACTAGTTCTTGAATCTCTTGTGGTGTCGGCTGCATTGTATCTAGTTGTTACATTTCTTAATTTGTGAGATGTGGACAAGTCACATTTTCACCATTTACTAGTTGCTCAAAAAACTTTGTTGTCCATGTAAAGTCAAGGTAAATGTTCGAACCAGTTTTGGCGCCCAAAATTGTTCCACATTCCGTTAGAAATTTGAAAAAACGAAAATTCGTTAAAAAAAATTTTCAAAAAAAAAGCCCTCAAAATTTTGTTGCACCACCACACTGCACCAACCATCCGATCATCATCAACCCTAGATTTATTATTGTTTTATTAAAACATAACCACACACACAAATTCCCATGACAAAACTAGACCGATGTATTGCCTCTCTTATGCAAGGCAACAAAGCCATGGATAAACACTCACCATGTGTCCAAGTGATTGAAGTACGACAACAACAAAAGGCTGGTGAGAAAAAGCTCATTGTAACCATCAGCGATGGTGTTCATAGTTGTCCAGCCATTATCATCAAACCTACTCAAAAACCCGACAAGTTCAGCGTCATCAAGATTCTTGAAAGTTTGAAACACACAAGAGATATTCTTCTCATTGTCAAGTATACGATTGAAGAGACATTAGATACCATGATTGGATCTCCAAAAAGCTATACTTCGGATTCTAATGTATCGGAATCTAGTAGCAGTACTACTGCAACTGGAACAAGTAATAGCAGTGCTTCTCGTTCATCATCATCAAACGTTTCCGAACACAGAAAACCAGTGAAAAAGAGTGCTGGAGTTGAGGCTGCCGATAGTTTCTATGACGATGGTGGTATGAGTAGTGTGTTACAGGAAGGAGAGAAAATGACCGATGATCAAGTTGCTCCAATTACTAGCATCGGCCCATACGAGCAAAATTGGGTAATCAAGGCTCGTATCACTCAAAAATCTGACTTGAAACATTGGGACAAGGGCACGACCAAAGGATGTCTCTTCTCTATTGAACTTTTGGACGAATGGAATGGACAAATTCGTGCTACTTTTTTCAATGATGCTGCCAAAAAGTATGTCAATGTATTGAAAGAAGGTGGTGTTTATTTCTTCTCTGGTGGAAAAGTGAAAGACGCCAACAAGAAATTCACTACCATTCCACACAATTATGAAATTACCTTCGATCGTACAGCTTCTATCCAAGCTGCTAAAGAAACAGCCATTCCAGAAGGAAACTTTAATTTCACTCGTTTTTGTGATGTTGCAAGCGTGGAAGAGAATGCAATTGTGGACATTATTGGTGTAGTGAAACAACTTTCAGAAGTGAAAGATTTCACAACCAAAAACAATAGAAAGACCAAACGTTGTAATGTCACACTTATTGATAACTCATCCAATGATCCAAACTCATTCTTCCAAGTTGATTTGACAATATGGGGTGACATGTGTGATTCTATTCAATTTAATGAAGGAGATGTTGTGATTTTCAAGAATGTTAGAAAGTCCAACTACAATGGTATTTCTCTCAATACCGTGAACAACACTCGCATTATTACACGTTCAAGCATTCCTGAATATCAAGCTCTGGCTGAATGGTGTGGCGATCATTCAAGTGGTTTTGGAGATGAAGTTGCAATCAAATTGACGCAACGTCAAACTGCTGCCAATTCTACCAAAACCTTCAAAAGAAAGAATGTCATTCAAGACATCAAAAATACCAATGTCGAGGATGTGATGAATGATGCTCTAACATTTTACTTGAGAGCATATGTGTCCTATATCAAACCTGACTTGTGGTATGAGGCTTGTCCAAACGAAAAATGTCACAGAAAAGTTCAACAAGATGGAGATCGCTATGTTTGCAATGTATGTGGACCTGTACCATCATGTATTCGTCAATATAAGGCAACATTTGCAATTACTGATTGGACAGGAAAGCAATGGTGTCTTGGCTTCAACAATGCTGTTTTGGAAATCTTTGACAAGGTGTCTGCTGACGAGATGTGTGAAAAGGCCAATATCGACACTCAGTATATGCCTATGGTGTTGTCGAGGGCAAACTGGACAAGATTTGTATTCTATATTCGTGTCACAGCTGACAGGGCTCAAAATAATGAGATGAAATTGAAGTATACTGCCTCACGAATTTACAATATTGATTATGCCACAGAAGCAAAGAGTATTCTTAGTACCATTAAGGATTATGGATTTTAAATGAGTAGTTGAGATGGCAATGTTTGAATGTTTGGTTTCCATTGCTGGAGTGATTCCTTCAATGTCGAAACACAAGTTGTGTGAATAAAATTCAACATGTCCCAACCAATTCGGTCTTTTTGTGAAGAGAAAATGTATTTCACGCACACCGTAAAAAATGTTCAAATCTCTTCTCTCCAATTCATCGGCCATTAAAAGATCTGTGGCTACCACCACCACCTCGAATCATCTATTTGCTTCTTCTCAAAGACGTTTCATTAACAAGGTCGTGAAAGATGCCCTTCGTTTTTACCAATCAATAATTCTCCAGCTGTTCGTTGAAACTTGTGAGTAGGGAAATCATTTTCAAAAACACAAAAAAGTAAGTAATTCAATACATCAATACAAGGACACCACAATACTTTGCAATAACTAGCACTCCGCCGTCAGTTGCCTGCAAAAAATATTCGTTTAAAGATTCTGCAGCGATAAAATGACGGTGCGGAGATACCCCCCCTCTCCGGAGCAGGGGGGGTCAGTTTTGATGTGTACCTGTATTTAAACGAAAAGGCTGTTGTTGTGGCAGAGGAAATACACTATTCTTGTGTTTTTTCGTTTCCAAATCGAATAGTTCAATTTTACTTCCTAAATAATCAGTGATTAAAATCAAATTCAAATTGTAAGATATTTGAACGTCAGTGGGATCATTAACATTTGTGTTATTATTTCTCGTACAGATGCTATGAACCGACGTATCAGGAGAAAATGTGTAAATCATTTCATCATGCATCGGAAAGCCATGAACTCGGTTGGTATTCGTTTTCATTTTGTTTTGTAATTTTGAATAGAATTCATCCAAACGATGAGATACTACTTGTAGAGATTGGTAATTAAGTTCAATCGTGCATGTTGTTGAGATGAGTCGCGACTGAGAGGATATGAGTCATCATGCGAGGACATTTTTTTTATGAAATGATATACCAACTTCTGGAACTGTAATTCTGAGGGTCACATGTTAAAAATGTATACAGAAAGCGCTAAAATTGAGGTCGTACCTAGCATTCACTGACCCATGTTCTTTACTTTTTCCACTTCACTTTTCAAAGAAAGTCTTCATCATCCATCCCGACGTTTAAAGTCTGTAACGCTTGAAGTTCATGAACTCTTCTTCGGTGAAACGTTTCAAAAAAAAATTATTCAGCTTCTACTAACCATCATCTCAAAAGATTTCATTATTATTGGCATTCCTCTGTCTACAGGCACTTGATCAGGCATGCTCAATTTCAAGTTGATGACGACGACCAGTAGTAACTCTCACGATCATCATCATTTTTCCAAATTTTCATCATCCAAATCAGGAATTATTTATTATTTACTGTTGTCATGTTGTTTATGGTTGTTGTTGTTATGGAGCTGTTGTTTTCATGACAATCATAATGTAGCAGTGATCCAGGAATCATCCTTTGGATTTGTCCATGGATCAATTACCATTCACACCGTTTCCATCACAAATATTCTTTCTCCGAATCTTCAATTCACTGCATGTGGCTCTCAGAACATGTATGCCACTCCGATCGTAGCCACATTCGATGCACCCGATATGCAAGAAGGTAAACTGTTACTCTCTTCTGGCGACTATTCCTTTACCATCTATGAAGATTACTTTGCATCATCATGTCCAAATGGAGTTTCTACTTTGAATAATACTGTGAAAATTAATGGACAGACCGTAATGAATTTGAAAACTTCATGTCAATGCTTTCCGAACTATGTCCAAACATTGCAACAAGTTCCAATTGTGAGCTATGTAATGTTAAATAGCACTGGAAATACGTTTACTATTGATTTGAATCCTTTCAATGCTGGTGTGGATCAGAGAATGCAAAAAATCTCTGTTAATTTCTACAAAATGGCATTGAGCGATACCATTATTGATTTGACTCTTGGTAATGTACCAAATAGGTTTGACTTATTGTCGCCTGCTTCCTATGTGCAAGTGCAGTCAGAGCCTTTCACAAGCACTGCATTGACAAACATGTCCACCTCTTTCAGCTCGTTTGTGACAGTCAACAATAATGCAATTGATATTGCTGAAAATGTCACATTGAATATTTCATCTAGTTCTACATTAACCAACCGATTATTTTTTGATGTGACCTCTATCAAAAAGCTCAATGTAACCACTGGTGTCGCAAACACCATTTTCCCTCAACTATTTTATTCTAACACTTCAACTCAAGTCAGTTATCAACTGGTTGGTGTGAAATTAGCCAGTGACGAGCAATTACAAATATTCTACACAGTACAAACAATCTATGAACCTACATCTAATACTAAATTTTATTTGACCTTTTCCGTAGATGGAGCTCAAAGTCCACAAGTTTATGACGCCTCGACTTCTGGGAACAGTATCTCCACAACTCTTAATGTGTACAAGACTTCCAAGATGGAAAGCTTTTTCGATCAAAATAATATTGGATATTCTGTTTTTGCGACTGTGTCAGATTTGGCCTATTTCAAACACGTTCCACCAGTTGGAGCAGTTGATTCAAAATGTTGGGTACAACTCAACATCTTTTCCGAGTCGTTTAATGGGCTCATTCATATTTTTTCCTCTAAAACCTCAAAACAATATTCCATTCCAATTTCAACTTCAGGTAGGTTTTTTAAATTCAGAACAAGGCATTAATATATTGAATGTAAATTGTTATGATAATTATTATTCTGAAACACATCGATAGATTTTATTGCAACGGTATCTAACACAGCTTTTATTGTTTTACCCTCTGATATGATCGATTGTGTTAGCTCACCAACGGATATCTATGTACGGCTGGAGACAGATTTTGTGACACAAAAATCCTTTAGTGTCAATATTTTCAAAAAGAGTAAGTAATTGCTGTGTGTGAAAACTATGAAGAAGCCTAACATTTTCGCCCAACATCATGTAATCACAGCCTTCCTCTATATCAATGATGAAACGTCATCATTCTCTCAATTTGTGAATGCTACTTCTCCGAATTTACAAAATGAGGCCTATGGTGCCTTTGTCAATTCAATTGGATCGAGAGACAACGTTCTGCAAAGCGTATACCTTAATTTTACACAATTTCAATCAGGAACAGAAGTCGCATTTATTCAGCAATACAATAATGGCATATCATCAGGTCCATTATTGCAATCCAACACAAAGAAAATACCTCTTCCTGTTAAAACTTTTTTAATGCCAGGAACAATCATTTACGTATATCCCAGCTGTAAGACATGCGTAGCCAATTTAACCATTTCTCTTCCTACAGAATATTCCATTCCATTTAGATTGAATTCGGATGCAGGTTCATCTTCAAGAACAACATTGCCTTATCAGTTTAAAAACGACTATGGCATCTATTGGACATATGTCAATGTGTCATTGATAGCTTTTAAAGGTAATGCAACCATTGTAGTCGATGTAGTGATTACCAACCTCATCAAAGTACCTTCAAAATTGACTTTGCTGGCCACTCAAGGAACAATTCCATTGTTGACAACTTCAGGTTCCAATATCAATGCTCCAAATAATGCTCGGTATTTTGTGACAACTGTAGGAAATTCTCAACTTTACAATTCAACTTCAGATTGTACACAAAGTCGTTCAGCCACCTATGCAACCATTTCACTGTCCGTTCCTGCAACGGCAGGTATTTGGAAGTTTGGATTATTTATTGACCCAACCGTGACCAAAGTCGGCACCCAATTTGCTTGGTCTGCAAAATCTTCTGATTTCAATACTGTGATCGGTGGAGTTGGCTCACTGAGTACCCAACGATTATATGTTAATCCTGTTGAAATTGTGAGCTCGTTATCATTTTCATGCAGTCTATATACATGTTATAGCAACAAGCCAGCTCAGCTCTTGCTCAAGTTCGATGCCTCTACTCTAGCACTTGCTTCGAGAGCATTTGAAATTTATGTGAAAATGGGATCTGTACCAACACTTTCAAACTATGATTTTAAATCACCACCAATGAGTACTTACAATAATTTAACAAGTACCTTTATGGTGAGATATTTGTTTACCAACGTTGGAACTTTTATTGTTAATGATGCACTTGGTAGCTATTCACTGTTGACTCGTGAACGATTGGATTTAAAGGCATCAACGATTGCCTTTGTTTGGATTCGTCCGATTTATGAAATGCCACCATTTGCAAGTAATTCAATATGCTCTCAGTCTGCTGGGTCTACGAGAGCCACCTATTTGTATTGGTATGATGATGCCACTAATGCACAAGCTGATTCTTCTTCAACGTTGGATTTTGCAAATCCTATTTTGTTGAATGTGACTGGAAATTTGACAACAGGCAATACTGGAAAAACCATGATGATTGAATTTTCAGTTCCAGGTTCCTATTCTAGTTATACAGAAAATTATAATCCGGTGGTTATGGTGATTGATCCCAATGGACAAACAGCTTTATACTCAATGAGAAAGAGTGTGATTACGTATACATTGAGCAAAACAATTTATAGCTCAATTCGATATTTCTCCACATTCTCCATTACCTCAAATCTAGTAGAAAATCCTCTGAACACATCTGTAATGATTTTACCTCTCAATGGATCCTATTCATTGTCGTCAACATTCTCGAGTAACGTGTTGGCATATATTGACAAGCCAGCATTTAACATAGTCTATTATTACCCAATTTATATTACAATTGGTGTGATGGTTGGAGTGACTTTAGCTGTTTTGATTTACTTTTCACTTTGCTATTTACTAATTTGGATATATAACTTGGACTATTCAATTGATACATTATCATCTTCAACGACAGCTCTAAATGGTTTAATAAGCCTCTATGGTATATTTTCACATGGTCAATTTCATTTAACGCATTATTGTGGGGAACCATTCCACTCACTCAAGATAAAGTTCTTAAAAAGAGAGTATCTACATGCTTATTTGGAACATTTTATTTAATATGTGCCATGGTATTGTCTGCCGTGCTATTAGGACTTATGGGAAGCACCATGAGTGGTATTGACACTGCTCTAAATTCAGATCCATTCAACAATGACCAAGATTTATCTTTGGCCAGTAATCGATCCTACTATGCTTGTTGCAAATATGAACCTTCTGGAACACTGACCAAGTTTAAGAACGATCCTTTTTATTGTGTGACTCCTTCCTCTTCCTATTACTATGATTACAGTACCTATGACACGTATGCCAATCTAACCATTAATGGTATTCGATACAACTCACCCATGCCTACTCGTGCTGTCAACACTGAAAATTATGGAATTATTTTGAGCTTTTTAGATTGTCCCAACATGTCTGTGGTTTATTATCCAGCCAATATCGATTCAGTGAATACGTATGGAATTACAGGTTTTGTGTTGGGAGGTGTATTTTCATGTTTGTGCTTTATTGCATTCAGTGCACTGATTGTGGAATGCATGATTGAATATGGTAAAGAAACGAGAAGTGTCTTTTCAGCTTGGATGAGAGAACATCGTTCGGCATCTGTTGCCACTCACTCGACCAACTCTTCACATCACACCGATGATCCACTACACAGAGAACAAGCCATGATGAGAGCCGTCGATCAAAGAAATAACAAATCTACAACAAATGCCACTACCACAACAACAACTGGAACAAAAACAGGTGCTCCTGCTCCCAAATCATCATCATCTGGATTGCATTCTCCAAAGAGTGTTTCATCCGAATATGAAAACTCTTCCGATGAAGACGTTCGTAGTTATGATCATGTGCATGTTGAGCTATCCAATGTAGTAAGGACAACAACTGGTAATAATTCTACAGATCATTCTTCAACAACAATTCCTCCAGATATTAAGAAACCAAACGTTCCAGTTCAACCCTTAGAACCACCTCAACCACCTCAACTTGCATCAACAACACATCAGCATCGACCACCTCCAACTATTGACAATTATGGACATGTACCATTGGGATCAATGACGGTAATTCAAAATAATGAAGTGTATGGCATGCAGAATGCAGTGAATGATGCCAATAATAATCTTGTTCAGGTCATTCCATCAGCAATGTATTTGCCAGAGTCTGTGAATTATAACAACAGCAATGCAATGAGTTATAATAATTCTCAAGATTACAATCAACCAGCTGTTGAGTATAATAATTTATCAAATTACAATAACAACAATTAATATTTGGAAACAATTGGGTAACAAATGGTTATTGGTTAAATTTGTGATTGCATGACATGACTCGAGATTTCAGAGAAATGCGGTGGCCCTCTTCACAATTGTATTCAATGGCTTCCAGTAACCATGTCAAGATTGGAAATTTTCCATGAAAGGTAATTTATGAACACCAAGATTGCTGACCTTTTTGGTTTCGTTTAAAAAAACACACAAAAAAAAAGAATGGAAGAAACAATCGCTCACCTCGTCCAAGCCTCAAATCCAACAGCCTCTCTGCGCCGAACCGATGAGGAAGATCAATCTCAAGCCATGCATTGGGACTTTCGACAATGGGAAGACATGCGACAGCAAGCCATCGAGAAGGACAAGAACGACGATCAAGAACAACTTCAACAATTCTCCAAGATGCACAAACGAGATTTAATCGAATTATTCTTTGAGGAAAAACTCAAACATCGAACACCCGTTCAATTGCACATGATTTCAAGTCTTAAACAACGTGCTCCCTACAAGTCTCAAAAAAAGAGAGAGAAATTTCAAAAAACAATTTTTGGATATTGTCGAGAATGTCATGAAAAAGTGAATGGAGGATTGCAAGCCATGAAGGAGCATATCTTGACGTGTGAAAAGTTGAATGATTTCAAAGAAGGAGATGTTTGTGAAGATGCAGTTTTGAGATTTAAAATTTATCCTCGATATGGAGATACTTGGAACAAGTACTGGTTATTTGTGGAGGTACCATTCACTAATTATTTAAAAGCTCTAGATGGAATACTTCGAGATTATTGGGTTGAATGTTGTGAACACTCGTCAAGTTTTGAAATTGATAACTATACGTATTACAGTTGGGATGAAAATGAAGGTTTTTTTAGATTGCAAAACATTTTGGAATTCGATCAGAAAACAATGTCCCTTCCAATGTATCGAGTCTTCAAACCTTCTGATGTTGGAAAATTATTTTGTTACACCTACGATCGAGGAAGCCCTACCGAGTTAGAAATTGAATTAATTTCAATTGTCAAATGTCATGACGAACGCATTGCAGCGAGAGTATTGGCACGAAATAATCCTCCAACATTCAAGTGTAGAAGGTGCAATAAGGACGCAGAATATGTGGATGGAGAAGAAATGAACTTTTATTGTGACAAACATGCCAAGGAAGAGGATAAAGATCTAGAGTGGTTGTTGCCAGTGGTGAATTCTCCTCGAATGGGAGTGTGTGGATATTGTGGAGATGGAGATAATTATGCTCCTCCCAGCAGTACTGAGAAGAAGAAAAAGAAGCACAAAAAGAATTAAAAAGCCAGTCCTTTGCGGGACATTTGACAGGTCTCAAAAATCAGGCAAGCCCAATAAAAAAATGTCAACAACACCAAAAGTTTTGGTGCGTTATTATTCATCACACCATGCACAACCTACTTGTGTGGTCGTCAAGCTATCCTCTACCTACTCTTCTCTCGTCAAGGATCTCAAAGAAAAATTCATGACAGAAAATTCCATCGGAGCCAATGATTTACTTGTTTCATATTATGATCCGAACGAAAAGGAAACCATTCATATCACCACCAATGATTGTTTAGAATGGTTTTTACAATTTTTCCATAATCCTCAAATTGAAAAATCATACAAAGTACTTTCAGTCCAATGGAAAATGAATGAAAATATCGTGACTCATCCATTGCATCATGATTCACAACAACAACAACAACAATTAACAACATCATCCTACCACAATTATATGAAACAATGCTTTAAATCTTGCAAACTCATTGGATCAGGAGCGTATGGACAAGTCTACCGAGTGGAAAGTGAGGAACGAATCTCTGCTGTGAAAATCATTCGTTATGATGAATTTCAAAATGCGAATGAAATTTTACGTGAATTTCAGAAATTAGTGCAATTCGAACATGAACATATTGTCAAAACACATGGTGCCTTTTTTGCAGGAAGTACCAGTGTGATTGGTATTGAAATGGAACTCATGCAAGGAAGTTTGCAAGATTTAATTATTGAAAAGCAAATTGTGCTTTCAGAAAAGATGTTGTTACAAATTTTACATCAAACATGTCGTGCTATGGAATTTATTGAAAAATCCAAAAAAGTGGTTCATAGGTAAGTGGTGTATTGAAGGTTTTAAGATTTGTGAAAGTTGTGTGAAATTTTCCAAATGAATATTTTACAATTTGTGAAATGTTCAAATATTTTCTTCATCATCTTTCTATTGTTGTTGTGTTTCATAGAGACATAAAACCAGCGAATATTCTCGTTCGACAACTCAATTTAGATTCAGAAGAAATTCAAGTGGCCTTGAGTGATTTTGGACAAGCAAGATCCTTAGGATCAATCAATGACACTGGTACAGCAGGTACTCCCTTATATTATGCTCCTGAAGTGGTTCAACAATTAATGGCCAAACATGAGGATGAATCTGCTTGTTTTTCATTTGCTAGCGATGTTTTTGCTTTGGGAGTTTCCATGTATCAATTAATGACATTTGATGTCACGACTTTTTGGTCGACTGCCATGTCCACATTGAATTCTCAGGTTCGACCCTATGTGACTTGTCGACTCAAGAAATCCTATTCCAATTTTCTAATTGATTTAATCATATCCATGATGACAATTCATGTTTCAGAAAGATTATCCATTTCACAAACTTTACAACAACTTCATGACCAAGAACAACGTATGAAACTAACATCAACCTCAACATCAATCTCAACCTCAATTTCAACACTAGTCAATAGTTCCTTAGAAAGTTTGAACTCGAATACGAATTTTGAAGAAAATTCCCCACTACTCTTCAGTGCTGTTCATTCTCCATCCAATAATGAAAACGCCTATCTCTATGGAAAGAACTTTTACGATCATGGAAATTATTCACGTGCAAGAAATTATCTCGAACGAGCAGCCCATCAAGGACATGCTCAAGCTCAATATCTACTTGGAGACATGTATCAACATGGACGAGAAATGGAACGAAATTTATCAACAGCTCGTCACTGGTACGAACGTGCTGCTCAACAAGGTCATGATCAAGCACAAAATAATTTAGCTTACATGCTCAAAATGGGAGAAGGAGGAAAGAAGGATCTTTCGCTTGCGTTTGAATGGTTCGATAAATCTGCTCAACAAGGAAATTCTGAAGCACAATATTATTTAGGACAATGGTATGAAGATGGAGACAAAGACGGAATGGTTAAGAAGAGTATACCATTGGCTACTGTTCATTATTTACAATCAGCTCAATTAGGAAATGTTAAGGCACAATATAGTCTTGGAAGAATGTATGAAATTGGAAAAGGAGAAAAGAATTTGATAAAAGCAAAGGAATGGTATGAGCGAGCAGCCAAGCAAGGATATGTAGCTGCTCAAAACAAGTTGAAATCTCTTGAAAAGAATAAGGAAAGTAAGCTTAATTTGGGTTCTTGGTGGATCGTGTGAAAAAACAATTCACACCTGAAGTTTCGAAACAAGATTTTAGTTCCTCTTTTTCTGAATCTACAAATTTGTTTCATCACGAGATGTAATTGGTGGTGATACATTTTCAAGTATTATACTTTATTTCTCTCTTTCACCACCACTCGGGTGCCGTTTGTTTATTGAATTTTACGTTCGTTGCATTTCGGAATTAAAAAAATGTCACCACTCAAAATTTGTCACTTTTTCACACTCTCCATCATCCTCATGATACTACAGCTTCTTTCATTGATGAAATCTACAAATTCCATTCCGGTTTTTTACGTGGACAATCATAACCACAACAACTACAATCATACATCATGTGGACTCTCTCCGAACTCTCCATGTCCATCCATCACACTCGTGTTAGAACAAATTGAATCTCATCCATCACTCTATAACAAATCAGGACATGTTTATATTGCGTCTAGTCATCAAGTATATGATGAAAGAAATTTTGAAGCGAAATTATTTCCGTTTGAAGAAATCATTTTGGAAGGAGGATGGAACTATGATGAAAATAATAATTATAACAATTATAACAATTATAATAACAAGGCTTCACAACCCGAAACAATAATTGAAAATTTTATCACTCTACTTGCTCGACAAATGACAGCCAAGAAAATTCATTTTGTGAATTGGAGCAAATCAAACAACAGAGATATTCCTGAAATTGCATATTTTCATGAATGCAAGTTTGAGAATATTACCTTACGATCCATTGTTTCATATCAAATTTCGAGTTTTGAAAAGTGTCAATTTGTAAATAGCTCTCGATTTCTAGTTCCAGCGAATACTTCCATTCTTGATTCGAATTTTACACAATCAAGTATTGAATTTATTGGTGATCTGAACCCTACCATTTCATCATTTCAAGTGAGTCACTCAAGGTTTTATGCGTCAAGAATTGACATTCCTGTTGTAAACACGAGATCTATTTTTTCTGGTGTTGTGAATGAGTGTTTATTCGAACAATCCGATTGGTCATTGACAAATTTACATGAATTGAACGTTTCACAAACACAATTGAAACACTCGATCATCATGAGCTCTTTTACAGACATGATACGAGTGGATGACTGTTCCATGACAGAACAATCTTCCATTCAAATTCAATCTGGAAAATTAATCAACTTTTCAAATTCCAAATTTTACAACTCGATGCTTTCTGTGACTTCTTCGATGGCTGTTCAGATACGTACTTGCTCGTTTTATAATAATACTGAAAATGTGAGTGTCAAGATTCGTGATTCTGGTGTGAGTGTGGATTATTGCCATTTTCAAAATAATCAAAAAGGAGCTATTTGGTTGAATAATGAAAATGTATGGAATTTTCCACTTTCAATTCTTGCATCCAAATTTGTGAACAACCGTCGTAACATGAAAGACGACGACGGTACACCTCGATCGAGCATGGATGATGATCGACCTTACGGAGGAGGAGCTCTCTTTCTTTCACACTCGAGTTTGTCATTGTTTGATTGTGACTTTATAGGGAACCAAGCGATCAATGGCGGAGCAATCATGGCAGAACATTTTAATTATCTTGAAATCTCATACTCGACATTTACCAATAACACTGCCATGGAAAATGGAGGAGCAATTTATTATCTCCAAAGAAATGCTGCAATCCATGGAAATGACAGTCATAACTCTCTATTTTCACATCGAACGGTGGCAGATGATTTGGACTTTTATCTCTCATCATGTTCCTTCTTCAATAATCATGCCCATGTGAAAGGAGGAGCTTTATATCTTTCACAGCATGAACAATATGGAGAATATATTTCAACTAGTCTTGATTTTTCTTGTATGAATAATAGTGCGAATTATGCAGGAGGATGTCTATTCGTTGAGAATATGATGGGAGCCATTGATCAAACTAAAAGCAAATTTGAGGGAAATTCTGCCCTTTCGTATGGAAGTTTGACAGCTGGACCATTAAGAAATATATCTTTTGAAATTTCCATCGTCGAGTCGTACAAGGAAATGACACCTACTCGACGAATCTTTAAAAATCCAGAAATTCCACAATTGCGTCTCTATCCAGGTTATAAAATTCCATTCGTAAATGTGTCGATATGGAATGAAGGTGTGGAAAAACTCAAGCATGCAGAGAAGAGAATTTCAATTCAAAAATTCGAACAAGAGAATGGTGTCACCTTTTTCCAAAATTCAGAGTTACATGAATTCACCATTCGAGATTTCAATGTACTAGCTTTGAACGATACCAAACAAATTGTGAAGGCACTGTTATACATTGATGAGACAGCAAGTATTGAAATGAATATTTTGATTGAAGAATGTCCCATTGGAATGATGTTATATACCTTCACCTCTTTTGGAGGTATTTGTGTGGAATTACCAAAACCTAATCTTGGATTAATCATTCCTCTTGCTCTATTAGGGCTAGTTTTGACATGTTTTATTTTGATCATGCTCGTGTATGGAATGAAATGTATCATTCATCGATTACATCGACTTTACAAAAAGGAAGCTTCAGAGAGAGCATTTGAACGAGTGTTAAATTATTCAAAAGTAGAGTTGTGGAATGAGGATCAAGATACTTTTAATGAAACAACCAATCTATTACAAAGTGTAAAACCCATATCCTCTTTGAGTCAAAAATATGTCATACCCATTGAAGAGATTCAAGTTGGAAAACGAATTGCTGAAGGTATGTTGTTCTAAAGTGTCTTTTTAATTTTGATGAATCATTTGAAAACTATATGAATAATTCGAAAACTATATGAATAATTTGAAAACTATATGGATTTCAATATATGGGTTTATAGGATCTAATGGAAGTGTTTATATTGCGAATTGGCATGGTACAACTGTTGCCTTAAAAACTCTAAAAGAAGAACAAGAGATGGATGACAAGGATTTTGAACGAGAAGCAGTTTTATTAAGCTCATTACGTCATCCCAATATTGTCAATTTCTTAGGTGTCTGCATGTCAGCTCTGAACAAGAAACACTTGATTCAAGAATATTTACCACGAGGATCATTGGAAAAGTTAATTTTTGAATGTCGAAAGGGAATTCAATTCGTAACGGTCAAACAAAAAATTGAAATTTTACTTGGAATAGCACGAGGAATGGCCTATTTGCATGGAATTAAACCAAAACCAGTCATTCATAGAGATTTAAAGCCGGCGAATATATTATTGGATCATTGGTTGAATAGCAAAGTGTGTGACTTTGGATTGTCAAGAATTAAGGGAACTGCAACATCAGCAACGACTCAGTAAGTTGAAAATATTTGTAATAATCATGTTTGTCATTCAGAAGAACGCGTTCGTTTGTAACCATATGTTACATGTCATTCAGAGTGGGCACGTTTTTCTACATGGCCAATGTAAGTTCGATTCGTATAATTTTTATGAATTTGTATTTCATTGTGGTTTATGATGACGACGACAGGAAATGATTGAAGGTAAAAGCTACAATGAAAAAGTTGATGTTTTCAGTTTTGGTATTATCATGTGGGAATTATTCTTTGAGGAGAGTCCTTATAATAATTTCAATTCTGACAAGCTTTACAAAGTTAAAAGAGAGGAAGAAGAAAATTCTGCAGGTTGTGGTCTTTCGGTGGTGTTTCAAGTGGCGAAAGGTCTTCGTCCAGTAATTCCATTTTCAACCATTCAAGAACAGAAAGAATGGACCACAGAGTTTGTTTTGGGCCGTAAAGATAGGGTGCAACAAGGGGCTACACTCGAAACGTTGATTCAAGTCGAAAATGAATATTTTCAAGTGATGAAAGAGTGTTGGGATGCAACTCCAGAGAATCGTCCTTCGTTTTTAACCATTATTGAACGATTGAATCAATGCTTGAAATTATTTGAGTGATATTCTTTTTGATTCCAACTCCGACATAATGCAATAAAAAGAGATCCAACATACTGAAAAACAAGCCAAATTATCACCCAGGTCAGCAACGTTGCCACAAAATTCCAAACGTTCCATCCTAGGCAACGCCTATGTATACATTAAGGTGGTATCTAAAATGGACAAGAGAACCTTCAACCACGACTCTGAAAGAAAAAATGGACCTATTGGCTAAAAAAACACAACTCTCTCTGCACGTGAACTTCCTTGGTAAATCAAAAATTTAATTAATTCAAAGATGGAGTAATAGCTTTGCCTGCTGGTGATACAGCTCCTGATACAGGTTTGCTTACAAATCTGCCCAAGAATCGTCCCAACAGTGACGTATTATTGCCTAAAAAATTCGAAAGTGGTTTGCCACAAAGAGTCCAATAAACTAGAGCAGTCAACAAAGAAACGATACCAAAACCTTGGGTGACTGAAAGTCCTCTGCTTTTTGTTTTGTAGCCAGCCTTCTTCAAAATTGTTTCCAAAACTCGTGCAGTTTCCTTGGCAGATGGATCTTGCATGTTAGAAGCAAGTTTAACTTGTAAATCTTCAGAAAGGGTGGCAAACCATTTTTGAACATCTTCATATGATTTTGTTTCCATGAAAATTCGAGCAGTGAGACCTTTTCTCATCTTGACATTCTTCACAAATACATTTGGATTATTATAAATTTCAACGAGTGTAGCAAAGGCCATGACTTGAGGAATGGCACAAAAACTGAAAACTTTTGGATCCTTCACTTTGGACATGTATTCGAGGCAATCTGGAGCATGTGAAAGAGCATTTGTAACGAGGTAGTTGAGAGTTTGTAGTGCTTGTGGTAAATTTTCTTTCTTTGCCAAATCTGTTACCTGCTTCAAACCAAATTGTTGGAAAGAGCTAGATGGGTAGAAGGTTCTATTTTCCAAAATATCTTCGGCATAGTCACGAATAATGTTCACTTTTTGAAGGAAGAGTCCCATCAAGTTTGAGAGGGATTTCTTGATGGATTCAGTGGAAGTACCGCTTGTGCCTGGCTTGAAGAATGCTTCTTCATCTTCACCATAGGCAACAAACATTTCAGAGAGACCAATACCAACCAAGCCAGCCACATAGTGGCAATATTCATCATAGTCGAGCATGGTATCGACGCCTGTCATGCCCAAGTAATTGACCATTCCGCATCCCATCTTCATGGTCACATCTTCAATGACACGTTGATACTTTTCATCCAATCGAAGGAATACCTTGCATACATGATGGAAGTTCAACATTAAATCCTTGTAGTGACGAGTGGCATGAAGACTTCCTCCACAATTATCAAGATAAAAGTTTGGATCACGAATCTTTTGATAGAATGTTTGTAATAATTGATGCTTGGCAGCGACATCTTCTTTGAGATATTCAGTATCATCTTCTACGGTATCAAGACCTCTCAAAACGAGATAAAAGATGGCTACCTGTAGAGAGTAGTTGTTTGTCGAAATGTGTGAAAATTGTTGTTGCAGCGTGTGAAAATTGTTGTGTAACAGTCATTCCACAAGTTCAATAAAATTGTTGTGTTTTAAAAAGAGAAGGTTGGTTTCAAACGCCTTGTCGAACTGGTACTTACGGGATGTTTGAGTTCTTCGGGAAGCTCCTGAATGACCATGGCAAAAGACCTCGATACTTGATTCAACTTGTTGTAACAAAATTTGACAGATTCATCGCTCATATCAATGGCAGGAAGCTTATGGAAGTATTTCAACTTTATCAAGGCTCCCAATTCGCTAAAGGTTTCAAAAGGTAAAAGACCCATTTTCTTCTGTTGTTGGCAAATCCAAAGAAAGATGACATTATCATGATATCATCCAATATACACATTCCGAGTTTGTAATCCATCAGATGATGATAATGAATTTCAATGAATGGAGATTGTACAAGAAACATCATTCATCATGCGGTACGGTCGTTATCGGACAAAAAGCATGGTTGGATTAATAGGGGTTGGCCAAAGAACAACATACGTACGGTTTGGGGAGTGGATGGTGTAACGGTAATTTTTTGAACAACAAAACAATAAAAAATTCGGTTTGCGATTCGCTTTCACTTACCTCAGCTCTTCGTGCACGGCTCTCATGAATTGAAGTGTTGATGAAGGATAAAGTTGCACTAGGCTTCTTGTTGTTGGTAACGGGTTGAAATGAACTTGGATGGTGATGTGGTTGAAATATCGGCTCGAAATTATTTAAATGAAAAGAAGCAAAGAACGAAGAGGAGGCCAGTTGCCAATTCATCATACTGGTCATCATGGCTTGATCCATGAACGTGATGGGTATCTGTTCCGAAGGGGATTCTGTGTTCAGATGTTTCATTAGTGTTTTTGTAGATTCATGATACATGTGTTTCTGCTCTTTCTCACGGAATATCAATTGCTTTTTCCTCTTCTTCAATAATAATCTCAATGTTCTTCTTCCTATTGTCATCCTTCCGTTCATGATTACAGTACAAGTTGTTTTCTTTGGAGAGATGGTAAGCCCAGATCATGTGGAGCTCTTTTGGCGCTGATGCTCAGCCTTAATCTCCTCACATCTTCAATTATACTACAAGATGTAACTTCAAGTATACTTGACCCTAATGAAAACCACAAGTTCAGTTTCAACAATTCCGGCGACATCACAAATTCAACAATTTTCTCTTTGAAATGACACAGTGATTGAAAGGAATATTGAAACACGTGTGTATTGTATCAATGATTCTTTTGAAAACCCAATCACATCACAACCGGTGCAGCACACGTGTCTCCAAGTTCTTATTGAGTTGCGACCAAGTAGTGCCCTTTTTAGAGCTATTCAAAGTTCAATCAAAACAAAATACAACAACAAATACTGCTTGCAAGAACATCACCACTGAACACATTTCCCGAATCATTTTATGGTCACACACAACATGATCAACAACAACGATCCATCATTAGGAGCACCAGTCGAAATGACACCCCTCCTTCTCATTCAACTCTATTACTCACTCTTCATTTACCCCATCCTCATACTCGTTCTGATATACCTTTTCAACAAGTCCATAATTCAAGTGAGAACCAATGAAGTGGTATGTGTGGAACGATTGGGTCAATTCTCTCGCACATTGAATGCAGGTTTGCACTTTATTCTTCCGTTTGTGGAAGAAGTCAAATGGGTGCGTTGGGTACACACTGTTGAAAATTCCTTTTCACACAAGACAGAGTTGAAAGTTGAAGAAATGTATCGAATTCCTACACAGGAGATTTTATTTGATTTTCCAACATTGAATGTGACAACCAAAGATCGAATTGCAGCTGATGTGAATGGTATCATGTTCTTCCGTATTCAAAATCCTTATAAGGCAGTGTATGAAATTTCAGACTTGTATCAATCGATCGAGCAATTAATTTATACCTCACTCAGAGATGCCATTTCTAAAATTACTCTCGATGAAGCCATTGAGGGTAAATCAAAAATCAAAGACTCCATCTCTGAAGATTTCAAATCACTTGAAGAATCATGGGGCGTGAAATTAACAAAGTTCGACATTCAGTCCATTGAAGCACCTTCCTCTATCGCTAAGAGTATTGAAAAACTAGTAGCAGCCCAGAGAGAGGCGCAAGCTGAATTAGAAAAGACTCGTTCCTTGCAACAAGCAAAATTACTTAAAATTCAAACTGAGCAAGAAATTGAACTGTTGGCTTGTGACACTGCCAACAAGAAAAAACTCAACGATTCACAAACAGAAACTGAAATTGCAAAACAAAAGGCGGAATCAGAATCGATGGCAATTCGATTGAAAGCTGAATCTGAAGCTCTCTACTTGTCAAAAATTCTTTCAGTCCATGGCATTGACCAATCTTATTTAATTCAAAAAGAATATACCAAAGCAGTGGAACACTTGTCACAGTCTGGAAATAAGGTCATTGTTATTCCCATGGAAAGTGCCAAGTATTTTGGAATGGCCTCTACTTTGAATACTGCTTCAACCATTTCTTCAACTTTTGGAACTAACAAAACTGGCAGCAATGTTGGAATGCTTCCTGAAGCTACATTCGATGATATGGTTCAATAATGTCAATTCAACGAAAGAATAAACGTTGTAACTGTCAGTAAAAGTGTGTCTCACATTTTTGTAGTGACGTCCGACAGGCAGTGATGGAAATCCCTCCAGTTTAAAAAAAATGTCCAAGAGATTTGATGTGTGGTGTGGATCAGTCGGGTAGGTGAAGCCGTTCATACAAGCATTTCAATACAATGATGATTTCATTGATGAATTCATCCAATTGGCAAAATATTTTTTTACATTTTTGGAAAATGTGATGACAAATTTTCATGAAACAACAGTGCCAGTGCAGTGGCGGCAGTCTGCTCGTTTCTCTTTGCGATCGGAATGTCAGCATGGGGAAGTAAGTTTGCTATGGATCGAATCAAATTCATCAACAAATAATTGGAAAATGATCAATTTCGTCATTTCCGAATACAATTTTCATCACCCGTGTCATAGTTGTCATTTATTCACAGTTTTTCGGGACGCTCAGTAATTCTGCCACTTGTCAAGCAAAGACCATTCTAGATTTATTGCTGACGTATTCTATTGTGACTGTTATTTCAGGATTGTGCAGCTTTGGCTCAATTTTCATGGCTGTTTTAGATGCATGTGTTTTTCAAGCATCTCAGAGAAAGGTAATTATTTGGATCATTGGTTGAGAATTGTCAAAACAATAATTATCATCTAATTTCTCTGATTATTTCGATCATAATTTCTTAAAATCATTTCATGATGAATCAATTTGTATTGATTTTGATCAAAAACCCATTTGGATCACATAGGAGGATCGTCAAAAATCAAGACCATGTTATTCCATTGCTCAATGTTGTATTGGAATCATTGGGTGCGCCACTTTGGGACTTTTAATTGCAATGACAGTTTTCCAATATGCCAACTCTTGTAAAACTGAGCAAACAAAATTATATGACATGATGCATCCTTATTTAATTACTCAATATTGTGCCATTCCAATTTTAGGATGTCTGTTGGGATGTTTTGTTTGTTTCGTGCAATGTTGTATTGCAATGAGGTCTGAAAATACGGATTATATTCGTGTGGAAAATATTATGCATTAATTTATTTTGTAATTTTAATAGACGACTTTTTAAATATTTAAATCATGTTCTTCTATAATTCATTCACAGACAGAAAAATTACCTAATTTATTTTTCTTTTTGCAAAACAACAGCCACACCAATCATGTACGATTTTCAACAACACCTTTTTCACACTCATTCCCTTGTAAATGTACCTCAATCCAAAATATGCAATGACTTTGCAAACTCCAAAATACACAATTAACACACCCAAATACACCCACATCATGTAATGTGGATCGGTCAACCCGTAGGCTCTCTCCAAAAATAAAGTGCCATTTGTATAGTGTCCTGCTGGTAACGAAGGTTGCTCAGTGCTAGCTACAGTTGAATTGTTGTCAACAGTCGTGGAGTTTCCAATTTGCAATAAAACTCCATGAAATTCATTAATTGCCAATGCCTTAAATGCATACGACAAGTATGAGGCATAACCGATCCATCCCAAAAATTGAGTGTTCGTGAGACCATACGCACCACTCACCAGTAAAAAGATTAAATTAATGACAGGTGCAATGAAATTCAAAATACTAGGTACTGGAATGATCGCCACAAGAGTTTGCGCAAAACTCATACAAGTTAAATTGTAAATTGCAAAAATTAGGATAAAGGCAAATACTCGCTCTGCTTCGTAACTGAATCCAACCAATAAATAAATAATAATTCCGAATATAAATGGATAAATGGTAAAATCTACAATATCTTCTATAGATTTTGCGAGGAAGAAGGCACCAATCCGATAACTTGTCGAATTTCTTTCTTGCGTCATTAATGGAATTTGTGAAATGAGCGTCTTGATGCTCAATCCAAATGTGATCGAAATGTTCAAATTGAGAAAGGAGAAAATTTTACCTCTGAGAGACATGTTCGTAGGCGAAATTTGAAAATACAACAATCCAATAAATACTGCAACAATGAATTTTTCAAAAAATGGCGTAATGAATTCTGTTTTCCAATTTCTGAGCTTGACTAAATAGATACGCTCTAATAAAATCCACACCGATGCAAAATAGTTGGAATAATACTTTTCAGTTTGAATATCTTCAATCTTATTGTGACGAAAGGGAGCCTCTTCGTGCTCCTTTTGTGGAATATAAAAGGTTCGTTTACGCTTTTCAAATTCAGCTTCTAAATGGTCTCTCCTCTCGATGCTCTCTTTATCCAAGTCTAAATAGTGCAAGGCCATTTGTTGTTCCCTTTCATTCCGTGATTTCGACATTTCATGGAGAATGATTAATTCAAAAACAGATGCCACCACATTTTGTCGATTCAGAGGTAATTGAACTCCAATGAGCTCAAAATATTCCTGTATCATCTTGGGCTTTCCAAAATAAATGGTGCTTCCCTTATTTAAAATCGAAACATAGTCGATTAATTCCAATTCGAGAATGGAAGGTCGATGAAGGCAAATTACCACACATACTCCCATTTCTGCAAGTGTTTTCATTTGTCGCAATAAATGAAACGATTCTCCAAATTCAATTCCATCTGTTGGATATTCCAACAAAACTACTCGGTGAAAGAGAACATTTTGAGCTGCAATACAGAGACGACGCTTTTCGCCAGATGAAAGGGTATTAAATGTTGAATTTTCCTTATTTTTCAAACCATAAGCATTGAGTAAAATTGAGAGCCTTTCGTCACGTGTGGTCCAAAGTGGATTTTTTGAACGAACTGGTAATTTAAATCGAACAGCAAAGCGTAAAATTTCCTTCACAGTCAGTGACATGTTGGAAGGAGCGTAATCTTTGGAAACAAATGAAACGAGAGATTTGTACTTGTTGGAAATGTCTCGATCGGTTTGTAACTCTCGATTCATGGCTAATTGACTATTAATAAAAATGTCGCCGCTGTAATCTTTGTATGCTCCCCGATTGGATAAAATTCGTAAGAGTGTGGACTTTCCACTACCTAAGGAAAAGTTTTGGAGGAATGATTTATCAACAAATAATTGACAATGCACAAATCATGTCATGAACAAATCACTCAATGTCATTATTCTCCAATTCATTACAAACCATCAATTCAACTCACCCACTGGTCCACAGATAGCTGTGATCTTTCCAGGTACGGCAAATCCAGAAACGTTTTTCAAAATTGGATTCTCAGATTGGCTTGGAAATTTAAGGTCTTTCCATTCCAAAAAACACTGTTGATCGAAAAATTGAGCTGGATGGTTTGTGGCATAGACTCCAATTGGATCCAATGCCTCGGTGGTGGTATGTTTCGTAATGGACGCAATATCCTCAATTGAGGATGATCTAGATGCTTCAAAAATTGTACTCGTTTCATGTTGATGATGATAAGGATTCTGTGGCACAAGATGGTTGGTTGAATCGGACAGATCAGCAGTACCATTCGTAGAGGCTAAAGACAATTGAGAGGAAGCTCCTTCCATACGAAAAGTCATTGTTGCTTCCAACGTTCTCTCTGGTAGGTTTTCGGGATTAGTTGTGATGAGTTTGTTGTTTTGGATGGTTGTTACTGATGGATCCGACAGTGCTGAAAGTGATGACGAACGATTGTACTATAAGTAGTTTCGGTATTTTTTTTGTTTTAACAAAATTTAATAAACTAAGATAAATATGAAAATGTTATAATGTCCTGAATTGTTTGATTGAACATCCAATCAAACCAAAGTTAAAAAATTCTGCAACTCGTGACATTTCTCGCTGGCAAACTTCGGCTGATGTGGTCCCAATTTCCGCTTGAGCAGGTATGTGTGTTTTATTCATCAAATATTTTTCTATCAAATATCTTCATTAGCAGGATAACTAGGCTTGTCCTGTAAACGTTTAAACTTGCATTGTTTAGTTTGTTCATGTTTAAACAAGTTTGGAGGAGGTAGATTTTGGCGACTAGCGACTGGCGATTTTCGCCAGGTGCAATTGGCGAGCACGCCAAATACCAAGCATTGAATTGGCGAACTCGCCAGGTCCTCAATTTGAATTGGCGAAATCGCCATCCTTAAAAATTGAATTTGGCGAAATGACAGTTTTATTCTTCAAAAAAATATCTGAACATCACACTCAAAACGACGCTGATTTACGTCCGTAATTACATGCTTCTTTGAACTGCTTGCTCAACGAGCGGTTATTGAATTGGTTTAACGCGCCCCGTCTCAATCTTCCAGATGCTGGTGAAGGAGGAACATTGTTCTCTGGCTCTGACTCAGAGTGACTGTCCGATGAGTCCTCGATGACTCGTTTTCTCTTGGTACTTCCGTTGCGTTTAGTACGTGGCTTCTTAGGTGTTTCAGATGCAAGTACACTGTTGGATGGTGTTGTCAGAGAATCTGATATTTTGCTTGGCTGAATTTGTGTTGCAGTATGAGGTAAGTTGTGCTGGCTGCTATTTGTTGAGTTGACTTTCTCTTTTTCCTCTTGGTTATTCCCCGCATCATCAAGTAAGTCTTCTTCAAGATCCTCGTCTTCATCAAAATCCTCATCTTGTCCATCATTATCATCATCATCTCCTTCTTCATAATCCTCGTCCTCGTCCTCATCATAAGATCCTTCCAAATAAGTAGCCACCTGCTGTCTTTCTTCGTTTTGAATGTTAGATACAAAGTTTTGGACAGCTTCAAGTGAAGTAGTTGTTGATTTCAAGCCTCTTGCTGTTGTGTCTGCAGGTCTAGAATCATATACATCCTTCTTTTGCTTCTTACGCTTATTTCTACCTTCCTTACTTGTGTCTTTATAGGACAACAAAATACCTTCCTTCAAACAGAAAAATCTGTTGACTGCCAAAAAATCTTCTCGAATCATCATAGTGGTCTCAATAGAAGCATTTCCGTTGTGAGTTGGAACAACAGTAGCATTCAATACCTCTTGCACATTAGTATTTCTTGGTAAGTTGTTCTCTACAGAACTAGTTCCGAGTAGTAAATTTAAGATATGATCACGAGACCACCAATCGCTCCAAGATTTAACTCCCGGGCAATACATTGCGATAACGGTTAGTATTCTCTTGATATCCTCCTTCGTTGTTTGAAACTCTATTTCAGCAGCCAAAGCTTCAACATGCTTCTTATAACACTCAACCCGCCAATTGCACACTACTGTTAGACGCCAGTCGCCAGTCGCCAAAATGTACCAACTCACAAGTTTGAACAAGTTTTAAATTGTTTGAACTTGTTTATAAAGTTTATTATGTTTGTTCATGTTTGAACTGTTTAAACATTTGTGAACAGAAAACACGAGAATCACAAATAAATTTAATTTAAAAAAATGAAAAACACACAACAACATTGCCACTAACACTTCTGGTGGCGTAGTAATTATGACACGTTGCTTAATGATGTGATATTCTTTCCCTTTAGCCATGATTATTCCGATTCGTGATAAATGCCATCCTGATAATCAAAACCAATAACAACGAACGGGTGATAAAGAAAAATTCTTCTCTCTCTCGCTCTTATTCTGTTATTCATCACTGAACATCATCATTTTGCTCTGAGTTTTTGTGTTTCTACATTGTAAACAACAACAAGAGTTTGGAATTAATTGGAGGAAAACTAATGGGTTTGTAACTCGCCAAACATCCATCCTTTGGAAAAGGATTGGTGTTTGAGGGATTTTCTGCATATTTTGTCATTAGACTTTATTGGGTTTGGCGGGCGGCATGTCGTTTGGGGCGCTTGATTTGCGATAATGACATTCCAGCAAAATTGAAGATGCGGTCTTTGTCTCGAAAGTTTGTTCTCATGTAATGAATGCATCAAAAATGTCTCCATTTCTTCTTCTCTATCTGCTGAACTTGGAATTTTTCGAATTGGTGAAGTAGATGTTGTGGTTTCATATATCCTTTTTGTGGTAGTTGTTGCTCAGCGGACTTTTGATATTCTTAGGATTCAAAAAAAAAATTGTAAAAAAAACGCGCCAAAACTCCCTGCGTTGTTATGGCCGTCATCAGCAAGTTTCATCATGAATTGATATGGTCGTTCATTGAAAATGATTGTATAGCATGTCAACATCATTTTCAGCAGTGATCAACACGTTTTGGGAGTATTCTCTAATTATTCTTCGAGTGATCTTCAAAAGGTAATTTTTAAAAATTCTGTGAACTTTTCCGATTGGATGTGAAGATACTGGAATGGAAGTATTGTTGTAGTGATCGGATACCATAGAATTGATCATTGATTCCATTCAAATTGATAAGGATTTCCTCTCAGTAGGATTTTTAAAAAGATTCAATATAACAATATATAACTTGTTTTTAATATCAATTAGTCCCACGCAGAGAGGAAGGAGGTATTAAGCGAAAGATTTCTTGTTGTTATAGTGGATATCGAGATAACCCCTATTTTTGTACTAAAAAATCAGGTCCTGTGGTGGTTGACCATCCTCTAAAATTATCGTTGAATGATCAAAACTTGAATATTTCCATCAATTAAGATGTAAGGAAGTAAGGAGCTGCTGTTTCGTTCGAGTTGAACTTGAAAGAAGTCATATATTTTGTGCGTCCAAGTTGGTGATATGTAACTCTTGAAGTTGGTCATAACTCAAACATGGACTAGCAAAAGTCGGTATTCCCTCGAAATTGGATACCGTTAACGTTGATTGAAGAGTCGTTCAGTGATATGTTGGCCTTGAACAGCTTCCATGATGGATCTCCAAAGTAATTGTTGCTGTGAACCACTCTCAAATCAATCATAATTCAATGATGCTGT